TTCGTTCCTCCCATCCTCTTTCCACTACCATCTTGTTTCTCTATGCCCGGTCCCTATTTTCAGACGGCTCTTTGCTCGCAACAGACCGTGAAACGATAGTGAGCACAAATCAGCAACATGTCCGAGAAGCCACCGTACGTTGTCTCCCCTACAGCCGACCCATCTTCTACCGCCCGCCCTGCCACGTTCATTTTTCTTCATGGCTATGGAGATGATGCCGAAGGCCTCCCGCTAGGGCTGGCTCAACAGTTCCAGTTCTACAACAAAATGCAATATCTGAAATGGGTTCTACCTAATGCACCGCACAATCACGAGGCCATGGCCCGAGCATGGTATGTCCCCAAGGCCTTGTCCAATGCCGTAAAGCCTCGAGTGCCGGGGCATGAAGACGAGGAAGATGCTCCAGATGATGAGGCCGGGATCATGCAGAGCGTGGAAATGTTGGATCGGCTTGTCGAACAGGAGATCAAGAATGGGACGCCCTCGGAGAGAATCGTCGTCGGTGGATTCAGTCAAGGTTGTGCGGTGAGCCTGGTTTGGGGTTTGACCGGGAGGCTCAAAAATCAAGTCGCGGGAGTGCTCTGCTTGTCTGGATACATGCCCCTCCGGGACCGGATACAACAGTTGAGAAATGAGAGGGGAATCAGGAACGACGACAAAGATCCCAAAAGATGGTTCTACGTTCATGGGACCATGGACATGTTGGTTCCCACAAGACTCTTTGTACAAGGCAAAGACGAACTGGCAAAATGGGTAGACAAGGAGGATATCGAGGAGCACCTGTACCAGGGCATGGGCCATTCTACGAATTCTGCCGAGTTGAGAGACATGTTGGCATTTTTCGAAAAGGTCATCCCCGAGTGAAAGCGTCCGTAATTACTCTCCAGGCTGTTCCATTTCACAAAAGAGGTCATGAAAATACCAGACGCAAGAATTCGATGTTGGTTATTTAGCTGCGCAACGTGTAGCACAAAAGAGCGACCTTTCGAATCAGACAGGGCCAGTACATTCCAACCCAACAGAACGGATTTCGTCCGATCTCCTTTCGAAGTTCATTCTTCTTCAGTCCTGGCAAATGCGACACATGGTCACAATGAGCCGTTGTTTCATCGTGGGCAAGTCTGCGAGATTCAATCGATTTCGTTAGCGAGTGCCTTCCTTGTCAAGTAACTTCCGACGAACGTGCTGTTTTGTACGAGCCGCAAGAATGATTGTGGTTGAAAATAGCTTCATGCAGGTAAAGAATCATGTTTGCTTGGGCCTGGGCAGCGCCGTTGCGCGACCTTCGATCACCCCCACTTCCTCTGACTGCCTCAAGCGTAGCAAAGTGGAAAAAGAAAAAAGACTGCTGCGACCATTCGCCCTCACTACCACCACGGCCTGTGAAACCATAACATAATAACAGTCTTGAAAAGAAAAAATGGGACAGCAGAAGGAAGACGTACCGCTCCACAAGATCCACAAGTCTTGCTCCCAGAAGAAATAGTCGCTCCACATTTAGGACAACCCGAATGAGACATGGTGCAGCGGTCTGAAGGTGAGGGTGGGATTCGATTGAATATGTATTTAGGCCGAGGTGGAGTAGAGGTAATGGGTATCTAGGCTAGCACAACGGCAAATGTCCTAGCAAATGTACAAGTACGCAAGGCGCGGCCGAGAATAGTTTTGGAATGCTGCTGGTCTGGAGGCGAGTGAAGGGACAGTGGCGATGTGAGATTGATGGAGGGGCGTTTGGTCGAGTTGCAGGTTTTATACATTTTGGCTGGTGCCCCTCGCCCTCCAAGTATCCACCCGCAGCGGGCACTTACAATTGGACCGCTCACTCTTAAAATTTCCAAGGTGCGCCTGCTCGATTCTTTCTCCATCGTCAGGGTGTGTCATATCACGAGGCTGAGCCATGTGCTTGCATGTGTCTTGGGATCAGACGAGCCTCTAGATGGCGTCGGAGGCAGACGTGTCTGGTGACACTGAACAGTCGTCTCTGTCGAGTTGAGTACTTTTCTCACTTCGCTTCCGTCGATCTCTCCCTCAAACCCGTTTACCACAGACTTGATCAATTTAGCTACAGGTGCGAATGTTGGACAATCGCCTGTGAGAATTGAAGAACCGTGGATTTGTTTTATTAACCTTAACTTCTAGTGTTCTCTGCCGTTGTCAGATTTATCTAGGATGTGAAGCCTGCCAATGCCCAATCTATATACAATGCCATATTCAAAACAGCCGTTCTTCCCATGCTTTTCTGAGGCCCGTGGTCACAATTTGACCGGATATTTCTTCCGAATATTCTCTCCATATCGGAAGAAGATCCAACTCATTGGCGCCATAGCAAGCGCAATAAATGCGAGCAGAGAATTGCCCCAACCCAGGCCCAGAGCCGCGTACATATCAGGCCCTGCCAATGGGAGGAAAGCACCCATCAAACTCCTCAAAACCGTGTTGGCAGCAATTGCCGAGGCCGCATGAATATGATAGGCATCGACGAGATACGTTTGCACAGGCATGAACGTGGCAAGCAAGCCCAGCCCCACGAAGAGAGTGCCAATGATGGGCATAATCCAATGAATGGCTTTGTCCGCGGACCATCCGTACCAGAACAAGCCAATCGGAATGACTAAACTGCCGGGAATAAGCGGCGGTAGCCTGTATTCTGGCTTCATTTCTCCCTTGGCGGACATCTTCTTCACCACTTTGTCTGACAGCGCTCCAAAGATGACTAGGCCAGTCATGGAACCAATTCCGATCCCGAGAAAGCTCAAGCCCACTGTGCCTTGACTGAAATGGTATTGTCCTTCGAAGACTATGGTGAGCGTGGTGAACAGGAGGTAGAGGTAGCCGTAGATGACTGCCATGTAGACAGATAGCAACAGTACGATCGGGGAGAAGATGAGCATTTTGGTGGGTCGAACGAGGGCGCGGATGAAGAAGTCGCGCGTGGGAATACCCTGGTCGAGCTTGGAGCGAAGGTTGGGATTGCCCGTTTCCTTTTGAACCCGTTTTGTCCGCCGCTGCAGGAGAACCGGCTCGAAAGTCTCGCGCATGAAGATGACTGAGAAGCACAAGGCGACACCACCAGCAATCGTGATAACCCAAAAGATCCAGCGCCAGCCTGCGCCTTCTCCCAGATAGCCACCCGCTACCGGGCCGATGACCGGGCCCATCAGTGGTCCCAACGCAAACAAGGCCATGGCTCCACCCCTCTTCTCTTGGACAATGAGGTCTGCGATCGAACCACCACCAATGGTGAGCGGGCAACTGCCAGCAATACCCGCCAGAAGACGAAAAACCAACAAGGAGCCCATCCCTGGAGCCAAAGCGCAAGCCATCGTCCAGATAACGAACATAAAGTTACAAATGTGGTAAACAGGCAGTCTGCCCCATATTTCGCTGCAAGGCGCGAGAAATAGAGGGCCGAGGGCGTAACCCAGGATATAAATGGAGACAATGAAACTGGCGATCGTCTCGTTGGAAGAATGGAATTCATTCATGATCAAGGGTGTGGCCGGCGCTACCATCGACGAAGCCAGTGGTGTCAGGAAGGTGACGGTGGAGATGATAGCCACGTTTGACCATTTCTTCCTGTTGGTCCAGTTGATGGCCTTCTCAGGGTCATTTGGCCCATCCCAATCGACGACATTCGGGTCGTGGTTGACGGTTGTGACGGGCGGCGTCTTCTCTTCCGCATCCTGACTAGTATCGACAACCGGAATGCCATGTTCTACATCTGGATCGAACGGTCTTTGGCTGCGTTCTTGCTCTTTCTCGGAGAGGGAAGATGAATGACTGGAGGCGATTGCTTTGTCGCATTCTAGGTCCTTGTCGTGAAAATCAACAGGATTTGGTGACTTGAAATCGGCCGCCATGCGATCTGGAACGCCATTTTGCCCTCGTCAGTATAGGTACATAATGCATACATGTTGCAACGCGAGCCCCTGGAGGATTAGAAAGCGCTTTATCGTTCGCAAAACGTACCTTCTGTCGCTGAACGTTGTGTGGTATATCTACCTTGTGGGGCCCGGCCCCCGGAGTCAGCAAGTAAGCTCGCGTAACTGAGTGTCTCGTGCCACGCGGGAGGATGGATCGTTACAAGACTGTATGTAAATGGAAGGATGAGGCTTAGAAGAACGATTCAATGGTAGTCAGTTGAAATAAATACTAGGACAGTGGGAGAGAATGGGGATATCAAACAAAAGGCAGGCAGATTGACTTGTCCCCCAGAGACGGGTCTTCTGCGATCTCGGCGGACGTCCTCACCTAGCTATTTATTTAGAGGTTCATAAACTCTCCTCTGATGGCATGCCGGACCCTTTCAACGGGCCCGTCAAGCCATATCAAAGGCAACTGGCTGTTGCGCTGTTGATTTCTCTCCACCTTTCGGCAAAGAGGATATCCGTGAGATGGGCCGGCCATAGTGCTATGGTTCGTCCTTAACTCCGCCGCCCGCCATAAGCAGCAGTATCAGTTGTATACAGTCCAGTTCGTGCGTGACGAAGGGTTGTCGAGCGTCAGGGTAGACATGCTCTTTGACAGCCCAAGGGATCTGCTGCTTTACTCGGAGGATGGGCGGAAGACGACAAGTCTCGGCGGTATACTTGCAGCACAAGTCCCAAGCCAAATGTGGGAGGTCCTTTGTGCAGCCGGCACAAAATTGTTATGCCGAATAATAGTTGTGTGCTCAAGCACCAATGCGGCAAATTACAGTCTGGGGATGCCCTCCACTTCTCCAAATTGCCCGGACTAAAATAACAGTCGTGGAACGTCCACGGAGGGACCGCGTAGTCGTCACAGATGGGAAGGGCTCTTCAAAATGGAGTCGATCGCGGCAAAAGGACCTCTAGGGTCCGTTTCACGTTGACAACAGGACAGTTCATTAATGATAATGACTAGACATCGCGGCGACATGGCTCTCTATCGATGCGCCGCAAGCTTTCGCCTGCAAGACTACATGTAGGTCCCACGGCCATGCTATAGGACACCTCAAACCCCATCCTTCGAGAAGTTGATTATATCGCTAACCCTGCACTGTTTTTCTGCCGGGGTTCTGTATGGTGTCAGTATCAAAACACTGCATTGGTTAGGACGGAGAAGGTGCACGAGCAAGAAAGCTCCTTCAACCACTGGTGCAAGCTGCTGGGGACACTTACCGCCTGCCGCCTCAAACGTCCCATTTGGTAAACGGCGGATACTCTTCGATGGTGTTAGCATGGTACTGTTGTACGGGGACAGCCAAATCATTATTTGACAGGGAACCTACTTGGGCTGAGCTCTGACCAGGCGCGATCTACAAAAAGAATTAATGTTAGCCTACATCTAGATCAACCTCCTCACCCTCGCGTGAGGAAAATACAGTCTTTCTGAGCCGGGGTGGGAACTCACAAAGGTAATATTATGGCCTCTCGATCTCATGAACTCCACTGTCTCGTTGTTATACGCGTACTCAAACGACACCTGGTTGGGAATGAGCTGATCGTGGAGACGTGGCTGTGCCAGTGCTTGTGGCGCTGTCATATTCTGGTCAAGTACATGGACCAGACTCTGAATTGTCGCGGTGATGATCCGCGATCCTCCTGCAGCACCAGTCACATAGTACAGCGTTCCGTTCTCGTACTCAACTATGGTGGGTGCGATGGATGATAATGGTCTCTTCCCTGGTCGTACATAGTTGGCCGGACTCGGGAGGTATCCAAAGGCATTCGATGATCCGGGGATGGAGAAGTCGTTCATCTCGTTGTTCATGATGACGCCCGTTTCTGGAACCAGAACTTGCGATCCGAACAACAAATTGATCGTCGTGGTCAAGGAGACGGCCATCCCCGAGCCATCTGCCGTAACAATGTGCGATGTACCCGGTGTTTCCAAGGACTCGATGCCCGCCGGATCGTACGCCGAGACGTTCAGGGTTCTCAGGTCAGAAATCTTGCTCCGGATATAACGCGCCGACGTGTCTGAGAGCATTTCATCTTGATACACCGACAGGTTGTGCACAAACGACGGGTCACCGAGATTGGTTCTCTCCCCATATCCAAACCTAATCGCTTCGTCTAATCGGTGAGTGCTCAGATTGACAGTCCCTGGTTGAAAGAAATCGGGATATAATTCCAAGGTCTTCAGCACGGAGAGAGCGACCTCACCAGAGCTCGGGGCACTACAACTGAATAGGCGGTAGCCTCGATAGGTGATGTTTGCTGTTGGTCGAATGGCGACAGTGTAATTATGCAGATCTTCGAGTGTCATGGTTCCATTGGCCGCTTGCACCGCTGCAATTGTAGCCTCTGCAATCGGCCCGTTATAGAACGCATCAGGTCCTTCCTCGGCGATGGTTTCGAGCGTGTCGGCATACCTCTTCCGTGTTATTGTGTCTCCCGCTCCTAGCAAGGTTCCATTTGGCGCGAAATCGATTGCCCAGTTTAGGTCATTCACGAGGAACATTGGCACTGCAGCTGAAGCCATGCCAGATTGCATATAACGCACCAAGTCCTCACTCACTGTCCAGCCATATCTCGCAGTCCTGATGGCTCCTTGCATCACCTGCTTCCAAGGGAGTTTGCCATAATTCTGGTGCAAGTAAGCCAGGCCTCGGACTTCTCCTGGAACTCCGCTGTCGAGCATGAGCTTGTGAACATGTCCTGTAACTCAATCACGTACCTCGCCAACCCCCCAAAAATGCTGGCCTTAGTGTTATTGTTGTACATGTCTTGAAAGGCAGCCGCAGGGGCTGTTTCTCGAAAATCTATAACTTCGTAGCTCCCATTTGATGTACGGACAATCATGAAACCTCCACCACCAATGCCGCTGTGATACATGCCAATAACTCCGGTGCAAAAGACGGTGCCGACGAGCTTTAAGACCGTCACTTTGGGCTATTTCCATGGACTCTAGGGAGGCTGACTTACCGCATCTGCAGCATTTCCACCCTGCCGGAGCAGGTCGATTCCAATCTCGCTACAAACACTGCTCTCGCTTGCTACGGCGCCCATCGAATCCGGCGCATACTGTTGTCGAATCTGAGGGAGGGGATTTGCGCCAGCCTGTTGCACCAACGGTGGGACGACCAAAGTACACACCAGCTGCAATAATGACAACATGATGGCCAGGTATATCGAAACCTTGAATGACCTTGGCGAGTGCGAAGGATTGAACGCACCGATAAAGAGTGACGAAGCCATGTTTTGGGACAGCAGCCCCGCTGCAGCTGGAAGCCCAAGCCGGCAGTTTTACACGTTGATCCAGGAGAAGGTAGATGCAATTTGAATTGCGGCTTCTGTGCCGGTCAGAAGACGATGGAGGCACGCGAGCCCTCACAAGACCCGTGACTCCAATAGCACCAGCAGGACAATCGTAGTCCCCTGAATGACGCAAGGAAACTTGTACTCCTCCAGTCACCAGCTTCAGTTACCGTTGCACTGCATGACAGCCCGAGGGATCGACGGACAAGCTCGTCAAACTGGGATGAAAATGTGACCAATGCCGCCGAAGGCGAAAAGCTGCGCAAGAACGAGAAAGAATGGGTGTATTTGATGCAAGATGAACCAGAGAATGGCACCGAAATGGGGGCCTGTTTAAAAGCAGAAGACAAGAGGTCAAAGAGCACAGGTGGGCCTGTGCCCACCAAGCATCCATGACGGAGAGTAACTGTCCAGTCCCATTTCCCGCTATATCGAGTACATAGTAATCATCCGTGTTCACCAAAGAGAAGAGTTTGTTGAGCAAGATAAACGATATCGCTAACATGGACCGAGGGCCGATCCCGATGCCCGGCGGATTTATCCGTCTTATCCTGAAGAAATGACTTGTACCACATTGGGGAGGCTGGTGTGCAGAGTAATAATGGAACTCCCTCCTTTTATCCCCTTTGCATGATTTTGAAAGATTGTGAGAGGAGGTCATGCCAAGAATTCCATGTCGGTGCTGGTAATAACACCGGCTTCGAGACAGTTCCTCTGCGTTTCGCGCAGCCTCGTCTGATGTCTCCCAGTGATGCTACATTTTGGAAGATCTAGCTTCGCCTTCACACGAGGATACCCCTGTCTTATGCATTCCCAACTGCTTCCTCAGGAGCTTGAAGGTTGCGTTTCTCGGCAAGGATGTCACCTCCCAGACATTTCCCCGCAATTTCTTGTATCCAGCCACTTGCTCGTCGACGGTGATCTGGATGTCCTTCAGCGCCTGAACCTTTTGTCTTCGCTCCTTTACGTGGTCTTTGAGCACCACGTACGCCGTGGGCAACTCGGTCATCTTGGTGGCGTCCCAGACCCCTCCAACCGCTGCATCCAAAACCGCAGGGTGGGAGACGATGTATGCTTCTAGTTCAGTCGGCGAGACCTGGAAGCCATTGTACTTGATCAGCTCCTTCGTCCTGCCTACGACCTGCAGATGACCTTCGGGAGAAATGGTACATACGTCACCCCTGAAAATTGCCATTAGCCCCTGACGCAACTGATGGAGTCTTCCCAGAGTAACTCTTCTCAAATTAAAATATTGGGTTCAGGGAGAAAGTAACGTACGTATTGTACCACCCGTCTCGGTCAAAGGCAGTGCGGTTCGCAGCAGGGTTGTCGACATAACCTGCCGTCATGTTGGGGCCTTTCAACCACAGCTCACCGGGTCCGCCTTCTGGGGCATCAGTACCATCTTCAAGCCTCAACGATCCAAGTATATTGGGCAGTAACGTCCCACTCTTGCCCAATGGCATGGGATCTCGGATCTTCTGCCATGTCACGTATGGAGCGGCCTCCGTCATCCCGTAAAGAGTCACTGTCTTCCATTTCCCGCGCCGTAGAAACTCGCGATAATCATCCTGCCTAAGGGGCAAAGGGCCGCAAGTCATGTGCCTGATGGTCGAGAAGTCGTACTTTGAGACTAGATCTGTGGTTGCTATAGTTAACGCGGTCATTGGCGATACTTGTGCCGCCGTCGCTCTCGTCCGATGGATGGTTTTCGCGTATGTCTCGAGGTCAAATGCTCCCATGATGATGTGCACCATGCCAGTCCACGGTCCAAGGAATAGGGGTATGGTGGCTGGGATGTCGTCGTCAGCATCGGTCGGAGTTGCCAATGGTCAACAACAGAGGGTGCCTGTTTAGTGAAAAGCAAACTCACTATTGGCGATGTGCACAAAGGGCGTATAGGAAACAATCCTCTCCTCTGGTGACCAATGATCCGGATCATGCGCCCACATTTGTAATACATTTGCGACATAGTTATATTGCGAGAGCCCGACCCCTTTGGGGTTACCGGTGGTGCCTGATGAGAGATGGATCGATGCCAGCCTGTTCCTGGTGTCTCGATAGTGAGGTATAGGTAGTTGCTCCGGGGAAATGAAATCCTCATAGAGGTTTCGGAGTCCTTTAGTGGTCGAGCCGATGGCAGTCAAAACTTCTGCATTCTTCAAATCTGGACAGTTTTGTTTCGCAAGTTCGATCGCCTCTATCACCTTCTCCAAAACTTTCGAGTACACTATTATGAATGCCGGCTTTGACACTGTTAGGGCGTGAGCAATCTCCCCCACCTTCAGCTGGTGATTGATGGGACAAAATACACCACCCAGCCAGAGAACCGCGTGGACAGCTTCGATGTAGGCAACGCTGTTCGGGAGGATAACGGCCCATCGACTTTGGTCCTTGGGGCTGTACTGCTGCGTCAGGCCTGTTGCAAGTTTCCCGGCATTCGAGCGAAGCTGACCTATAGTTAGGGTGCGGTCTTCGACATCATCCTGAGCGATGACATGGCCGGATTGCAGAGCTGGGGAGCGTGCGCTGCTATGGAGGAGCTCTGTAAGGTTGAGGTCTTCCGGAATAGCAATATCTGGATCTCCGGATCTATATATCTTCATTTTTCTGTATCACCAATTTTGTTTCTCGTGGCAGAAGTTTAGTGTCAGGAAGGTGTTAGGCTCCAAGCCCTCTCTAACTCATCTATGAAGACGAGTCAACGGTTTGAGTTGACGTGTACGGAGGCGTTGATGGTTGCTTCGCAAGATTTCCCACCGAATGCCTCGGAAATCCTGTTTGTGCCCATTGACCGTCAAAAGCCGGGGCCCCGCAAGATTAAACCCCTCATGCAAACCTCGGTTCTTGCCACTGCTAGCTGTGTGGCTGCCCTCAGTACTCGGCGTCTGGAGACAATAATAGTCCATGAGTTGAGATGCTCACACTGTACGACTTTCAGGCAATCGGTTCTGCAAAGCCGAAGATCGGTGAGCCATATCGTGGTTCGAGGTGTAAAATCTTAGCTCCTACCACAACATCCGCCAGATAGATCTCAGAAGGGTCAAGCAGATGACAGACACGTGTTTGCTGTGTTGCGGTTCCAGCTCAGCTTTCTGCCTCCACCTTTCCTCTCCGCCGGACACCTCTCGGCGATTCTCCGAGCATTGCGCTCCAGTGCAGAGTGCATATTGTAACTTAGCTGTGAACGTTCGGAGTCAGATTATTGGCGCTTCGGCAAACCAATTTATTGTGCAAAGCACTCCCGCAGACCAACAAGCTCGGTGGCGAGCCCAGTGAGGGCATCAATTTGTCTCAGACATTCCTAAGAGGAAGAGTAGAGCATTGATCGACAAATCCAACACCCTGAAGCAGGGGCCTCCTTGTCATTTCCGCATCGCTTGTAACCACATGCCAGACTCGATTTTCCCGCTCGTGCTGACCATCAGATCCGACGCGCGACACTACTTGTATTCATCACTCTGAAGGGACTGTACTCCTGGCATCGTAAGGAACTCCAGCGTCGATGCTTTCCACTTGGATCTGTCGATCTTTTGCAACCCTGTTCTCTTTAGGTATTGTGACCCAGCCTCGCCAGCTTCATGATTCTTACGAGTATGTAATACCTATGCACCCAGTAGGCTGGAAGATGCAAACTGCAATTGCTCATTTGCCAATAACGAGGGCGCAGAAAGGGGCCCAGTCAGGGTCCTGGGTGGATTTTTCCCTGATCTGCCGGAGAATTTCTTGATGTCGCCATGGCTCTATGATTGGCGGTTATCCATGATGGCCGGTTGAGAAGCGAACCAGTGTGAAAGCTGCCGACTTAGCCGGAGCGCAAAGCCCTGATGATGTCAATCTACGCGGGATCGAAGGTCGGTGGGCGGCCTAGAACTTTTGATGGACATGAGATATACCGCATTCACAAAAGGTGGCATCTTTAAGCATCTCACCATTCACTCCCCTTCGGACTTTCCCAGATCTGATTTTGGTCAAGGGGGTTCTGGGTCCGTGATCTCATTCTGCACGTTCGAATCAGAGTGGGTGGAGAGAGGGAATCTGTCCCTCACCCCTTACGTTGAGCAGATCGTTTTTCTCTCTGCCACAGAATCCCTGACACGACGCGGGGGTTGAGATACGGCAAGGACAGTTGCGAGTACCGGAGTACAGAGGACCTGTACGTAACCAGCACCGATTGCAAAAGGGTCCAATGAGATAGGAGTGATGGGCCATTGCAGGGTAGTGGGTAGCTGGAGTAGAGTCCATCAAGGTCTAGACCCGGTCATGGCTGCGGTCGTCCAACGACATGTCTCCATCTCTTTTCTTTTCTGTTGCTCACACCCCGACAAAACGCTCAGTGAGGGCCTCTGCTGACGGCCGCAAAAGGGTCTTTCCGAGGGATCGATGCCACTGGCGTCATGCCACATGCAGCCTACAAGTATTAGATTTTGGCTTGTATTATTAAAACAACTTCCACATTTCGAACAATGGCGGCAAGATGGCTCGACCAGGCCTGGCAAGGAAAAACGGTGGCTTGTGCGAATAAGTGCTCCATGTTTCCATTCGGCTCTTGGACATGAGGATACGGGGTATATATTTGTTGACAGGTCGCCTCTACTACTGCATCTGGCTCCGTCGGTGCCGCCTGTGAGATGAAGGCCCAGCTTCCGGCGCTGTTGGGGGCGGCCATTAAGTTTGCCCAAGTCCGCTCTCGCCGCCTCAGCCAGCTGGATGTACGAGGTACAAATGTGGATTTCGGCGCGGCGTGCACAAAACTAGATAGGTCCATAAAGTTGAAAGGGGGAAAAGTCAAAAAAGATTTTGTACGATTCCCCGAGATGAAGAGTGGTGGCATGTAGTTGGCTGTAGGAACTCTTCAGAACGCTGTCTGCTCAATGTGCGAGCGAGGTGAGCAGTCAGGGCTTAGCTCCTCCAGACCCAAATACCACTCTGCCTTAATCAATAGCTAATCCCGCCGCACGGGTCTCACCTTGTGTGCGCACGCACCTACCAACCTAGGTACTCCGTACTCTGGAGCCCTTGCCTGGCTCCGTTTTATGGTCCTTGACTAGTACTCCGTACCACAATTCGAACTCTCTTCCACGAGTACCCTTCCCTCACCATATTCCCTCCGCCCCCTCTCACGCTCTGCTCGCCCTCCTAGACATAAACCAATCTTACCTTGCGACTGTCCGCTCCCTCCGATCCATTTCCTGTGGCCAACCCAGTTCGCACCTAGCCCTGGGCCTCATATTTCGACCGGAAATCCCCTCCCGACAAATCCACATCCCCGAGCTTGATTTGTATCACACTTCGGGCCTACGACAAATGAAGGCCTTTGTGGCCTCAATTTGGATTCGCAATAGAACGTCTGCGGCCGGACCCTGCGAATGTCTATGAGAACAGATACTTCCCCAATCCGTCAGAGCCTGGTGTTTGAGGGTGGGAGGTAACACCAAATGGCAGTGATGGCCGAACCACCGGATACTAGGCCGTCCCTGCCGCTCATCGAACGACAATCATTATGTCTCCCCAGCATCGAGCCCGGCGTGCCCGCACAATACGGAGAGGATGGTTTCCTTCAGAACCTTGCGAGGCATTTCCCTTCCCGGGAGAACAATGCTCTCGAGAAGCTGGTGCAGCTGAAGCGGGAACTCAAGATATCGGACACCGAATCGTTTTGGAAAAAGCTCATGGAGGGCATGACGGAGATTTGTCATGCGCAATACGGCTTCGTCGCAAAGAGGATATTGTCCGACGACCACCATTCAGCGGTAGAAATGCCTCCGTTTGGCGAGTCAGGTTCATGTCTTCTGGGCGTCGCTTTCTATTATAACGATGGCGACAAGCAGAAAGCCATGCACCGCGACTACAAATATCTTGCTTGGGGCTCGCCCTGCGCCTATATGAAGCACGACAAAGTCTTCCTAATCCCTGAGCACATGAGTTCGTTCATCACTCACAACCCCAATGCTCTTCCCTTCCCAGCAGAAGGCTATATCGGGATTCCCTTATTTGCAGACGGGAAGTGTTTTGCCCATTTTGGCATGATGTGGACTCAAGAAGGCTTGGACCGACGAGAGACTACTTGGAGTTACACCGAACTTTTGTTACATTCGTTGGAAGACATGATTGTTGAGCGTCTCCTAAGCGGCCAAGGATTCGTAAAGCCTCGCAGCCGAAACACCAGCACAGCTCGACTGACCCATGTTATCCCGCGTGAAGCAATTACACCTGGAACCCAATCTCTGAAGCCATACGCCAAAAGTCTGTCGCATGAACTAAGAACACCAATGCAGGGTGTGGTAGGAATGCTGGATGTCATGCATGCGACGGTACAAGAACAGATTGAGGCTGTCTCAGATGCCTCTCTTCGCCTGGTTTTTCGCAGCCTCAGAGACAACATCGAGATCATCCAAGACAGCGCCAAAAGGGCTGTCGAAGCTGCCGATAACGTCGTCCATGCCTACGACATGAACATGCAAATCCCTGACACACCCTCAAATGAGAACGAATCACCAGCAACAACGTCCACTGGCTACTTCGATCACAAACCTGCCAGATTGATTGAAGGGAGTGATATTCATTTCAACTCATACAAGCGCCGCCGAAGTAGTCCAACAACCTGGAACTTTGGTAACGCCACTAAGATGCGACAGGTTGGACCATCGACTCGCGTCAATGTCTCTCCCAAGAGCAACACAAGCAAGATTCTAGCTCCGCAAGCCTCATCACTGCAAACGAACCCATCTGACGACCGCGTTCCCACGATCGTCACTCCAATGCAAGATTGTGTCACACCTGGCAATCTAAATCCTTCCAAGCTGTCTCCAACAGAAAGTGACGCGTTCCCAACCCCAGGATTGAAACACTGCCGGATTCGAGAGCTGATACCCATGGTGATCTACGAGTCTCTACGTGTCGGAGGTAGACCTGATTCCGCCATTGGGGAACCCACCGACTTGGGTGAGAGAATTGTGGTCAGATCACGCTCATCGAATGGGCACATTTCCCAGAAGATCATTGAATGGTCGGTGGCTGATAATGTCCCCGAGACTCTTTTTGCAGATGAACGAGACCTGACCAAATTGGTGTCAGCTGTGTTGCTGAACGCCATCAAGTTCACAGAAGAGGGCAGCATTACTTTAAATGCCCGCCTCTCAAAGAGCCAAAGATTTCTGGTCATCAACTGCAAAGACACTGGTGATGGGATCCCGGAAGATTTTCAGCCCGAGTTGTTCAAACCATTCTCTCGGGAGGATGACTCGTTGACCCGGTCAAAGGAAGGTCTCGGTCTCGGTCTTCTGGTTGCCAAAGGACTGGCGCGTCGTCTTGGGGGGGATATCATCCTCGTAGCTTCAGATGTTTCTGGCCCAAACAAGGGTTCTGAATTCGAGATCAAGGTGCCTTTTGAACCTAACGATAGTGCGACAAGTCGTTCTGGTACTCCTCATAGTAGAACCCCGGAGATTTCGAAAAGCGGGTCCCAGCCGACTGCCACGTTAGCACCTCCAGAGGTATCACCAAACGGCCACAAGCATCCGAGACCATCGAAGATATCCATGCCATCTATGGGAGAGCATTGCACTCGTGGACCGCATACTCCGGCTCGGACAACCCCGCTGAAGAAGGATACGTACGATCGACAACTAGCGCAGAAGCATCCTCTTACCTTCTTGGTTGCGGAAGATAACAAAATCAACCGAAAATTACTCGTAAGCATGCTCGGAAAGCTGGGATACAAGGACGTGCACGAGGCTTTCGATGGGAAGGAAGCAGTCAGAATCATGCGGGAAATCCACAATAGGGGAAGAAGTTGCGGCAAATTAAACGGGAAACGAGCCGGAAAAAGGGTAGACGTCGTCTTGATGGACCTCTGGATGCCCGAAATGGATGGTTATGAGGCAACCGAGCATATATTGGAGATGTTCCAACATCCTCAAGACGACAATGGAGCCGACTGTGGCCGCATGACGCCACCCATTGTCCTGGCTGTCAGCGCTGATGTCACAGACGAGGCCATCGACCGGGCGACAAAGACGGGAATGGAAGGATTCATGACGAAACCTTACAAACTGGCAGACTTACAGAAATTGATTGTTGAATTTTGCGTCCGAAGCGATGGCGTGGTTGCTGGCCCAGATTGATACGGCAAGATTTCAAAAGAGAGAAAACTGGATCCTCCCCAGCCATTGGGGGATTCGTTCCTTCGATTATCTTGTATATACTTGTAAGATGCTTTGTATGTCACGATACACATGACGAGATGGTTAGAAGCAATATGATACCCATTCAGGACGAATGCAGAACTATTGTGTTCGAAACGACGTAGGATGTACTCGGTGTGTACCGAGGACGAAGCCTCGAAAGGTCCCTGCGTACGTCAGCCTGGCGAGCTGAATATTAGCCACCTAAGTCTAGCTTCAGCTTCCCAGAGACGCAGCTATGTACCACCTTTATACAGACCCTGTCGTCCCCGGACCATGAGGTATTTCTACATAATACCTGCAAGTCGAACGCACTCCCTGTGACTAGATTCTCAAGTGTCGAAAGATCAATATTGCAAATGCGTTATCCCACCTCGGGACGCGAGTCGCGGCGTTTGTGTTGAATATTCCAACCCGACTCTGCGAGAGCTCAATGCTAGTTTGCCAACCTACGAATATCTTGCCAGGCGGAAGTTCAGCACTAACGGATCCAGATGAAAATCCCTTCCTTGATACGTCCGTCCTATTCATAGATTTGCCCAAAAGAAGTCGATCTCTAGTACTCGAGGTCCCTCAATAAGAATTCCCGTATTTGCCCACCACCAACGGACTGAATATTTCCTTGTAAGCTGGATTTTGCAGCTCGATGGCTTGCCTCATCTTCAATCCATGACCTCAAACTATATTTTGGCCTCCGAGGAACAAAGTCAGCCGGTTGGCCCTAATAATTGGCCAAGCCACCAGCGGCAAGAGTGGACGATGGTCGGGTTGCTAACAATCTACAGCATGGTTGGGCACTGGCAAAAAAATCCGGTTTCAGAGAAAATTGCTCGCGGTCCAGGGTATACCTACGCAAAACCACTACGTCGGGCTAAGGTCTATTACCTATTCTCACTGTTTAAGAGAATGTGCCTCGACTTCGACAGTCCAACTCGAAAACGCCAACAGTCAGTAGCGTCCCCGTACGACAGTCCACAGAGGCATCAGCTGTACCGATCACTCGCACCAGCTGGGGGTAATATCGGTAATACAAATTCGAAGCCTCGACCAGAAAAAGAACCAAACAGAGAAGACCTACATATTCAACAAATAGGGAATGTCACAGTGAGGACCTCCCAGAATTATATTACACCCGCCAGTGATCCCAGCGGTTTCGCTACATGTATATCAGCTTCAGTACTGGCTAATGGAATTGTCTCAGCAATGCGGCTTCACATGCCCATACGCTGTCTCCTAGTTACATGAAGAACAAGACTGAGATGAAATATCTCGAGCCTCCCTGGGTTTACGCAGATCGGGCAGTCCCTTGCGCCGAGCACCTGGGCTCTTGTGCGTGCCTCGAGCTCGTGTACCGATCACATTCACTGGGAACCCTGCATCGCGGGATCTTGTGGGTTACAGTTGGAGGCGTGCTCTGTATTTGGGGGTTTGGAAGATGTTTCTTTGTGTCAGTCAGATCGATTCGACGTCTCCCCCCGAGCACAGAGAGCCAGACTTCAAGCCCAACCAGTGCCACCCACCGCCTCAAGCACTGGATCGCATCATACACCCGTCGATATCTCCTCCCGGAGGCCTTCCGACCCATCTTTGGAGGGACCAGCCGATATCAGATGTTGATCTTGTTGGCATTAGTCGCCTATCTTGTCATCTTTTCATTTGCGGGCTTCGAATTTTCTGGTTGCATGGCATCTGAGGAGGAAAGACCCGCAGGTTACAGCAATCGCACGAGTTTTGCTCTCTGGCTGAGCCGAAGCGGTGTCTTTGCCATCGCGCTGACTCCTTTATCAGTCATGCTCTCAACTCGGAAATCGCCCCTCTCAGCAATCACTGGTGTGCCCCATCAACACTTCAGTTTCTTGCATCGGTGGCTAAGATACATAATTTTCATACAGGCAACAATGCACGCAATCAGCTGGTGTGTGGGTTAATCGAGAATGTATCAACTTCACCAGAATGTTGGATTGAAGTGGGTTCAACACATATAAATCATTTAGGACGTTCTCGCAATGAGTTTCCTTGCGATTTTTGGTGGTACTCAGCATACCGAGGGCAATTCGCAGGACAAGGTATGAATTCTTCTGAAAGTGTCATTATGTGATGGCCATGCTCTACATCGGAGCCTGCTGGGGTCACTTGTAGAGGCTTGATTGCTATCTGATCCCATCGTTAGCCATTTGTTTCATCGATTGTGATGCATGTCTTGTTGGAAGAGTGCCGGTCCAGCAACTGCCACCATCACCCGCTTTCGTGATGCTCTCAATGGAGATGTTATCCGCTTGGATTTCATTCATCCAAAGAAGAGATGGAATATTGGACAGCATCTCTACCTCTGCTTGCCGGAGACCACCATTTGGCAATCGCATCCGTTCACTCCATTAAGCCTTCCAAGGGACTATGGAAGTGGGTCGGTGCACTCGTATTTCGTGCGGGCGAGGATGAGAGATATGAGGATTCTCGCAGACTTGGGCCATGAGAAGTGTGTCACTATTCCGGATATTGCGATAATACGCGACGGCCCTCCCTCGACAACTCCAGCCATCCTGACAGAACCAAATGGCCAATCGATCGTGAACCAGTTGCCTTCAGACGCTAATGTACTCTGCATCGCTGGCGGGACACGGGTGACATTTGTTCTTCCCGTGCTGCTAAGTCTATTGAATCCGTCGCCTGTCCCAGATCGGAAAGTCGAGTTGATTTGAGTCATTCGGGGGGAGCACATCTCTTGGATCGAGGAGGAGCTTGACCAACTACATCGAGCTGCAGCCTTCCACCATCTACAGATCGTCGTCTCCATTACATGGGGGCATGTGCTGGAGCTCTGTGGATATGACTTCAGTCTGGGCAGTTTCTCGGAAGATCGATCGGCGGCCGACATTGTTGAGGAGTTCTCTACACTAGAATCGACGAGAGCGGACGAGTTTAACAAGGAAAGGGGCACTAAGATTTGCAATGTATGCTTCTCGATGCATACAAGCACCTCTGTTGGCTCGGCGTCAGACCCAAACCGTCCTGACTTTGGCCTTCTCGTCAGCGATTTCGTGGATACGACCACCCAGGGACCTGAGATCGTCTTCGCCAGTGGACCAGCAGGCATGATCACAGAGCTGCGCCGTATCATCTCAGGGCTCAACTTGGGGGGAGGAAGGTATGGAATGGAATGAGAGATTCGATGTCAAACTCGTTTGCGACGACCGCATGGAATGGTAGATAATGTAGGATTTGGAAGAAGTTGGTGACAGTGTCCCCTTTTCTGTGTCTGGCCAATCACGAGACTTCTACTACCTCCTTGGCTGCTTCCATTTCTCCGCCTCGCAAGGCACTGTCCATTACATACATTCGTTCCTCATCCGTTCAATCTGTTCTCTCGAGTCTTCCTGCTTTGCTTTTCTCTGCTATGCACATGCGCTTCCAACGACTCGTGGATATCTCTTTTCAGTAAAACTCTGAAGCCTATATCCTCAATATCGCGCCTGAACAAACTTCCGTTGCACGAAGCATACGCCTCCTTTTCGGCACCGGCTGCACCACCTCAAGGAAGGCATCTAAAATGCCTACGCCGTTAGATAAGGCGATGCAATCTCGTGTATGTGGCCTCTTCTTATCCTGAGCCTGTCCATAGCTCACTGGCTCTATACTTTATTTCATCACTTCAGCCCCAGAGGCACCAGATTGCTCAAGCTGACATGGCCACTAGAATCTTCTCTTTGGTTTGTCTTTCTCGAATCTACTTTCTGGACTTTTGTCTCGGACGATCTTTGTGTATTCTGTATCCTCGGATGAGCACCCACATACTTGACGGCACCGCTATCGATTTTTCGTTGGCGCTTTGCAATCTCTAAACGAATAGGGCACCCGATAAAGTCCAAACCTGAGCATGGCACCTGACTTTTTCTCTCTCTTATTAGGTTTTGCGGGTTTGGTGACTATCGCGTCGCTGTGGAATATGTTGGGAGGGGATATGTTCCCTGCTGAGAGTGATCCCACCGGCGGTACGATTTATCCTGATACCCAACAATGTCCTCGGTGGCTCTGGACACCGCAGCAAACACGAAGCTAATGTCTACAGATCCGGAATACTGGACGGAAACAGAATTGAAGCGGTGGCTGAAGCTGGTGAGTCTGCGGTTGTGTCTCGTGTTCTCCCGCCGCTCAGGTGCGGAATCTAAGCATGCAAAATTGACGCAGATTATAGAGGAATCTAGCGCCCAACACCAGAATGACTAGAGCTGAGCTCTTGGAACGAGTTAAGGCGAGCATGAAACCCCGAACGACTTCTTGAATCTATGCGCGGAGCTCGAGAAGTATCAGGACGAAATCAGCTGTTGCTATCTTCCCTCCATTACAAGTAGACGCGTACTATTGCAGGAACGACGAAGCTTGAGCGAGTTGCGAACATGCACATGAACTATGGTAACAGAATGGGTTAGCAAGTATTCCAAAGCGACTGCACAGGCGCGTTTTGGGGATCCCCCAGCGGTCTTTGCGCGGGCAATTCTGGTCTGCTATGGTAACGTAGAGGAGCGTACGTTTCTGGGGCTAGATATTGGGTTGAATTTTCAAGCGAGCGGCAATGTGTGCTTGGTCTTGTAACTAGAGGGGTTCTTGCCACCTCACGAGCTCAGCCTCGTAGCCTCGCCGCAAATCGGAGAACCCAAACCCATGCGGAGAAACCTGCTGTACGTACTAAGGTAGTGCTGGAAATAATTGGAATAAATGAGTATGTTAACTCTACTCTCGTGCGCTCTTGCAGTTCTTGAAGTCTCCCCCTTCTAGCATGCGCACTCTCGAGCGTCATGCTCGTGGTTTCTTCCTCCAGCGTCGAGCTTCGGCACGATGCCGTCCTTCGCGACCAATCCTTCCTCGTGGAAATTCCCAGCGACGCGGCCTGGCAACAGCGATTGAGCCAGAACGACCTCCAAAGGCCGCTGTGAGAAAGCCTTACTACGTGACAACTCCCATCTTCTATGTCAACTCAGGCATGTGTGCTCATCCCCCATTCTCTCTCGTGACTGACTGACCATGGATGCTGCAGCACCCCATGTTGGCCACCTCTATACATTAGTCCTCGCGGATGTCCTCAAGCGATGGGCAAAGCTTCGCGGCGATGAGAGGGCGACTCTACTTACAGGGACCGACGAACATGGAATGAAAGTGCAAAAAGCTGCTCAAAAAGCGAATACCGATATAAAATTGTTCTGCGATCACCACGCTGAGCAGTTCAAGGCCTTGTGTGACGCTGCCCATATTGACTATGACCGTTTCATCCGTACCACCGACGAAGACCATAAGGAGGTTGTCCGATATGTCTGGCAAGAGTTAAATCACAGCGGATACATCTACGAAGCCAAACACGAGGGGTGGTACTCGGTCAGCGACGAGACCTTCTATCCCTCGACCCAAGTCCACAAAGTTCTCGATCCGTCGACAGGTCTAACGAAGATCGTGTCTATCGAGACTGGGAAAGATGTGGAATGGACTTCGGAAACGAATTATCATTTCAGGTTGTCCGCCTTTCAGGCTCCGCTGCTGAAGCACTACGGGGAACAGACGGGTGCCGTTGTGCCAAAGCAACGCATGGCCTTCATAATTGACGAGATTCGAAGTGGGCTCAAGGATCTCTCTATTTCTAGACCTTCATCACGGTTGACATGGGGCATTCGGGTTCCAGGTGATGACAGCCAGACTATCTACGTCTGGCTCGATGCCTTATTCAATTATCTGACGATGACCGGGTATCCTTTCGTCAACAGAAATGATCCCAACATGGTCTGGCCTCCGAATTGCCAAGTCATCGGTAAAGACATTATTCGCTTTCACACCATTTACTGGCCTGCTTTTCTCATGGCTCTGAAGCTTCCTGTGACCGAACGAATTCTGACCCATGCTCACTGGACGATGAACAATGAGAAAATGTCAAAATCAGCCGGAAATGGAGTCAATCCATTCTATGCTATGGACCGATTCGGGGTGGATTGCATTCGGTTCTATATGGCACATAATGGGGGCATTGTTGACGATGCTACATACGACAACTCCTTCATTGAAGAAACGTATAACCACCTGCTGAGAGGTGGCCTCGGAAATCTGATCCATCGTGTTTTCAAGAGCAAATATTTCGATGTTCGCGAAGCGGTCGAGTTGGCCAATGAAGACGATAGTTTTTCGAAATTCATTACTCAAGATCAATGGAATGCCGGTAACCCGGAGCTGAAAGCTATCCGTGAGAGTCTCAGAGCTCATTATTCCAAATTATGCTCTGTAAGAGAAATTGCAGACAACCACATGAAAGAACCAGACCCGCGAAAGGCTGTCCAGTCAATTTGTGAGCTGATCGGAGAGGTATGAAGTGTTGAGCATTTGTTGAAGTTGCACAGCTGACCAATTTACAGACAAACAAGTTCTTTCATAACACTGGAGTCTGGAAAATTATTAAGAGTGGAGATCCCGAAACAAGCCGTATGGCAAAATATGTCCTCTTCACGAGTGCAGAATCTGTCCGAATCATGGCCATTCTGCTACAGCCTTTTATGCCTGAAAGAATGAAAGCCGCCCTAGATTTGATGGAAGTCCACGAATCAAGAAGGACGTTCGATGATGCTCTGTTTGGTGCAGATTTTGCCTATGGTCCTCCGGCTCTAGAAGCTAATGCAAAGGTGTCGGCTGAAGTCGTCTTTCCTTTGCTATTGTCATCTCATTGAAAGCGACGTTGGGAGCCACCGGATCAAGTACAGTGATGAGCTTGCTTATTGTCCGATTCGATCATGAGAGCCCAGACCAATTCTTGTCTTCCCATGTCTCTCAGAATTGGACCCTTCTTAACTTCATTCAACCAGGGCTCACATCGGTGGCGCATCAAGAGAACGAGCCTTTTATGAGCGGATAATCTTGGCAATTTATATTGATAACGCGGAAAGCTTGAAAAGATTCGAACCAAATCTCATAATCCGGGTTATCAATGCTCCTTCGCCTGAAGTCCCGTCGGACAATGGCGCGGGTTCATAACTAAATTTGATCGTGTACCTGCATTAGCGCCGTCAATCCTACGAAAAGGATTCGAGATGTGTTTCGTCAGTGTTTTATCAATCTGTCCAAGATACCCTTGTATTTTCGGAATTTTGACAGCCACAGCGCTTATATGGCGTTTCTTGGATACCTGCTTCACATCATTCGACCTTCCAAACTGCAATGATGGGTTCCTTGTGCAACCTAAACAGCACGAAGCCATGGATCGGAGAAACCACCTTCGTGAATCCCCAACTCTTTCACGTGCTGCTGGCTGGTACAAGATACTTTGTCTCCCACGCCGATTGTCTCCATACTAAAATCTACAGCCGGATCTTCCTGGAATTTGAGAATCTCCAACCATCGGCATCATTCAAGTCACGAGGCATTGGCAAGCCCTTTTGTCGGAGGAAGCATACCACAAAGCGGTTGCCACCACATGTTCTCCGCATTTCTTTGCGCCTTCTGGTGGCAATGCAGGCCTCGCGCTGTCTCTGCAACTTGCGCGCTCGGTTATCCGTCGACAGTGGTTATTCGCAAAAGCACAGAAAACTCCATCGCCGAGAAGGTAAAGCTCAACGGCGCTAGCGAAGTCATTGTCCACGACGCGGCCCTTTTCGAGGCAGATGGCTAGGTCAGGGAAGTGGTTATGCCTTTAGCCGAAACGAGAGGCGAAATCGCTGTCTATATTCCACCGTTCAACAACGAAAACATCCGGGAAGGTCCTTTAACCATGATCAAACAGATCCACCACCAAATGCCCAACGGCGAACCGTCCGACGCAATCATCTGCTCTGTAGGCGGCGGCGGCCTCCTAGCGGGCATTGTACAGGTTATGGCACGCGTGGTCTGGGGCTCCGACGTCCAGATATTAGCCGTGGAACAAAGGAGGCGGAATCTGTACCAGTTGTCACAGGTTGTAGAGCACATCATTATACCTGGCCTCACTTCGATCGCAACACCCCTTGAAGTAGTCCGCGTATGCAAACGAGTGTTCGAGCTCTTGTCACGCAAGAACGTGACCCGAATGTGCCCTGTCTCGCGCTCGAGGATGCAGAAGCTGCTGTGTGAATTGACGCTTACTGGATGACGAGCTAATAATCGTTGAGCCAGCCTGCGGCGTGAGTGTAGCACTCACGTACGACGGAAGACTTTGAAGCTTTTCGCGTAGGTCAGTAAACAACACCAGAAAGGTCGTGGTTGCCGTGTACAGGGGGGGGGGGGGGGGGGGGGAAAGACCAATCTGGACATACTGGTTAAGTACTGGGAACAATACGTGGAGAGAGCGAGGGAATTGGGCGAGATTTGGGTGGGCATCTTGCAGTGCGTTCTGTCTCGTTATCTCAGGTGCGATGATCTGGGTATAGCAACAAACTGATGATGATTGGGTTTGAGGATGATAGGTACTGGTAGCCAGCCCATCTAGTTGACTACTAGTTGACTACATACTGAGACGAGCCAGGGTGATTTCCTGGCTTTCCTGTGGAGGCCTGCATTTTGTTGATTGCAAGCCGCACCTGCCCGAAGGGTATTCTCAACATTTTGACAATGTCGAAGACGGGACTCACGTAGCCGGTCAGATGAGGGTCTGAATGGCCATGAACAGCCAGGGCATCGCAGAATCATGCCCAGATATCTGGGAGTCGAGCTCAGGGTTTCTTATTGAGAGCCAAAGAACGTTGGGCTCGCAATGTCTAACCACGTTGCCTTCCATCGTTCCATCTACAGCCTTCTGCTCAGATTGAACACACTCTTGCCCTTCACTCATGCCCGAACCATATGGCGACTCCCAATCCTTGGACGAGCTTCGACCTCCATCAACACTTCAAGAGTCACAATACCTGGGGGATTTGCCACCACTGCTCCCCGCCCACTGCTGAATTGTTAAGACGGTTGTATACATACAACTTGCCAATCCAAAGGCAAACATCAAATAATCCAACCATCTCTGCAGATTGGTCTTTGCCACAGCCCTAAGGTGCAACAAAGGAGGGTAGCAGTATACCAATGGTATGCATGCGAAGCTACCAACCAGGGCGACAAACTTGTCCAAGTCGCCGGCACCACCCCATGCAATAAGCGCACACACACAAACGAGGAAGAAGCGAAATACATTCTTCTGCCACTTGATATAAGGATTGTATTTGCCAGAGCGACTGAATAGTTCGTTTTCCATGATACGGATGGCAGGGAATAGTTGGAGCGGGGTGCTGAGGAGAATAGCCAGGGAGTACAGGAACTGCACAGAGTTAACTATCTTGCTGTCCTGAGGGAGATTGAGGATGACGACGGTTTTGGTTTTCGATCCATACGCGGCATAGGAGAGAGCGCCGATCGAGGAGAACAGAATCGTGATGATGACCATGACAGTAGCCAGGACGCCGGGAAAATCTTTCGGTCTCTTCATTGATTCTTGGATTGGGATGATCAACCCCACGCCCTCAAAGGTGAAGATAGCCGTGCCGATGAAAAGCGTCCAGGTTGAAGGGCTGAACAAGGTGATATCTGAAGGACCTCTGTTTTCAACGATAGTGGCGATGTCGTAGTAGTACAGGTAAATGAGGCCAACGAGGATGAAGGCGTCAGCGATAAGAGCTGTGAATCCGAGTTTTCCGATATCCCTGATCAAGCTCAGTGGCAAAAATATGACAAGTTGCATCAGGACCATGAACTTGATGTCGATAAAAGTTCTGCACTTGGAAACCGCCAGAACAAATGCCTGTAGATTCTCCGATGTGAAGACAGTGTAGGCCGAAACAAAGCCAATCTGGCTGAGAACGATGGAGAACAGGATCATTGCTCTCATCCACTTCCCGTAGAGAATGCCACCAATATCACCAAATGAAGCCTCGACCTTATTCCGTGTGCTGATGAGCAAGATAAAGCAATAGTAGCTAAGGAGAGCCACACCGAGTAAGACAAGGGATGAGAAGAGCATGCCGCCATTTAAAAAAGCTCGTGGCAAGAAGAGGACTCCCGTACCAACGAAAGATTTCAAGAGCAATAAGGCTGCATTGAAACTGCTTCCCGTTCCAGTCGGCCCGCGCTCCTTGTGTCGTCTCCTTCGGAGTCCGCCTGGTGTAAGTAGGGCACTGTCCTCCAGAGGTTCTCGGTCGCTCGCCTCGTCGTAGGCGTCGGCTGAGAAATATTCGTCTGGTTCAAGAACCTCGTCATCCTCCTCTAGGTCTTCACCGGCAAAGTGTCCGTAGAGCGTAAGGAACTCTAGAAAATTGTTGGTAAAAAGGCGAGGTTGAACATCGCTTCCAGAGGGCATTCCGTCCTGTCCTTCTGCTGCAGAATAGCTTTTCCAGGCTCGACCGGTAGGGGCGGGACTCTCAGCGGCTCTACGCAAAAAGTTTCTGCGAAATCCACCTGGCACTCGGATGTTTTGTATGTCCAAGGTGTCACTTTCAGGCTCTGGTCTCGGCATAGAAAAACTTTTGCTCCTTTGAGCCTTGCCTGGCTGATTTCCTTCCTGCTCTTCTGCCCACCGATAGACGGCACGGGTTATATCCCCACCTTGTAACCGGAGGCTGGAAAATTCGTCCGAGTCCAAACCGGGTCCCGGCTCGTTCAAATCTAAGCGAAGCGTTCTCCCTCTCGACGAGCCTTGGTCTGGCTGCACCAAATGTCTTTTCACCACTTCCGGGTCCTCTGTTGGTGCTGGACTTCCTGCCACCTCGCGAGGGTTGAAAGAGCCATAATTGCTTCTCGGTAATCTGTCGTGAGCCCCCACGCCTCCGGTGGCGATCAATAATGATTGTCTCGGTGAAGAGTCGTTTGCAGGAACTGGGGGTGTACGAATTCGAGGAGGAGTTCGGTTCATTGTATCAGCCAGAGCTGTAGATAGTGCAGATCGACCTGGACCCGGCAGTGACCCTGACTGATCAAGTTTGGGCAGAGTGGAATCATTGTTGTCAGCTGCAATCTGCTGGGGCGTCGGGACTTGCTGCACAGGAGGTGTACTAAGGCGCTGCGAGGGCACAGGGGAGCATAACCGTGCTATCGATGCATTTCGGGAGTGCGGACTGCTTCCCGTGGGACTACTTGGTCGTATGTCCACAGGACGGATTCGGGATGCTGTTGACGACATTGAGATGTTCCTGAGTTCGGGGGAGTGCTATGCATGAAGGGGCAGACCCGACGACATACATAGGATGAAACGGCGAGACGCAGTTGTCCAAAAACAAGATAGCAGAGATAGCATGTGATCGGTACGAATGACCAAGGAACAAGTCCTGTGCTTGCGTGGTGCGCCCGTGGCAAAAGAAATCTTGGGAATGGTTTTGGCTGTTTTGCCCAGCATGATGCAGCGGCGAGTTCCCTTTGGCTTGGACTTGGCACAAATAGCTGTATGGAGCAGGCACTTTGTAGGCCTCGGCATGGTTGCTTCTGCGGTGAGGGCCCGGGAGTAGGCGCTGGACCAATAATCCGCGTTGACCGCTCAAGACTGTTTTAACTACCCAGTACTTGCTATACCGCCTAACCCACGAGCATGGTGGGGGAAATTCTCTGCACATATCATTCCCGTACAAGTACGCCACTGATGCTTCACATGTGACTCCCCACCTTGTCCGCTAGCGAAGCTTCACTCGTACGTGGAAAATCCCTTGCGAGGTCCTTCATCCATAGGCACAAATGTTCCCCTTCGTCTCTGGTATCTCCTCTTGTTCTTTTGCCTAATGTCTTTGTGCCACGCTCGAACCAACGCTCTCCTACCGAGTATTCCACTATATAATACTTGATTCCCGCACCTCTCTTTCCTTCCTGTCAAGCTCGATTAATTTAGTAAGCAAGTTTCAGTCTAGGTGATACCAAGTCCACGCAAGTAACAAGGCAAAGAAACACAACTCACTGAGGCTCTCTACCCTGTGGTTGGTGTTTGATGGAAATCATAGAGGTTTCGGCAGACATCTGACGATCTTCAGTTCACTCCCTCTCAAGGTCACTACTTCGATCGCCTGCTCCCATCAGCCTGGGCGGGAAGATGCGTTGATTATGGATCGACATCCAGAGGCAACTTTGAATAATCATGGCCAGCACAGGAGGAAAAAAAGGCTGGCCGGAATTTGGATTAGGGCGAGGTTCTGTAACCCGACGCGGTCCCACCTTCTTGACACGAACAGCTACTGATGAGGCTGCTCAACTGCTGCGGCGATCATCATTCCCAAGCACTCCAGAAGAACACCGTCCTGCGTCAGCCCACGATGGCTCGGTCCAAAATCTTTCAAGATCTGCTACCGCCCAGTCTTCTGCGTCTGTTCCACCACTTGATCCGTTAGACAAATCGACCTCTTCAATAGCCTATGGGACTTTTGATGGCCCTCAAGATTCACCGGAAGTCCCTCAGCCGGCAGAGCCGACAACCGTAAATCAGAGTGCTCAAGAAAATTCATTACCATCGTATGTCAGCGCGGCACCGGGCAAGGTTGAAAAATCGGTCGTGCACAAGAATGGCACGCCTCCACGCCTGGTTGGAGGCTCAGAAAAACTTGGCACATTCTCAGGGGTTTTTGTCCCTACGAGTCTGAATGTCTTGAGTATCCTTATGTTTATCCGCTTCGGGTTTATACTTGGCCAAAGCGGTGTAATAGGCATGCTTGCCATGTTGGTAGCAGCCTACGCCATCAACCTGGTCACCACTATGTCTCTTTCGGCCGTGGCTTCTAACGGCACGGTCAGAGGAGGTGGAGCTTACTACTTGATCTCTAGATCATTGGGTCCCGAATTCGGTGGAGCTATCGGGTTGGTCTCGTATCTCGGCTTCGTTTTCAACACTGGCATGAATGCAGTTGCTCTGGTCGACTGCCTGGCTTACAACTTCGGTGCTGAGTCTGGAAACTGGGCCAATGCTATCCCTGAAGGTCAGTGGTGGGAGTACCTCTGGAGCACCTTGGTCGTGGTCCTATGTGTCACTATTTGTATGGCTGGAAGTGCCATTTTTGCGCGTGCAAGCAATGGCCTCCTTTTGATCCTGCTTCTGGCAACATTTAGCGTCCCATTTTCAGCCATTATTCGATCACCCTTTCAGACCACGAAGCAGTTTCTCCAATTCACAGGACTTCGTCTTGACACTTTGAAGCAGAATCTGCTACCTCACTTCACCCGAGGAGCTGCTGGCAGCGAACTAAGGGGCAAAGAGAACTATCAAGATCTTTTTGGTATTTTGTTTCCGGCAACCGGGGGCATCCTCGCGGGTGCGAGCATGTCAGGCGACCTGAAGAATCCTAGCGTGTCCATTCCCCGGGGTACACTTGGCGGACTGGCTTTGACCTTCGTCGCATACACGCTAGTGATTCTAGCTATGGCTGCAAGCATTACCAGGGAATCCTTCTACAGAAACGTCAATGTCGTCCAGGATGCCAGCATATCGGGGATATTGATTCTAGCTGGAGAGTTGGCATCGACGTTCTTCTCCGTTTTGATGGGTATTATTGGACCAGCCAAGCAACTGCAAGCTATTGCGAGAGACAGGGTGGTTCCAGGTCTCTCAATATTTGGACAGGGGACAAAGAAAAAGGACGAGCCCATTTATGCCATCCTCTGCACTTTCGCTGTCACTCAACTAGTGCTTCTTCTCGATATAAATCAGATTGCTTCGCTAATAACAATGACTTATCTAATGTGAGTGTTGCTGCAGACTGTTTGCGGAATGGCACTGATAGCTTTTGCAGGACCTTTGTTGCGCTGAACGTAGCCACCTTCCTTTTGAAGATCGGTTCTGCCCCGAACTTTCGGCCTTCATTCTCGTACTTCAACTGGTGGACGGCGGCCTCTGGGGCACTCCTCAGCGTCGGCAGCATGTTCTTTGTCGATGGTGTTTCGGCGTCTGGTTCGGTTTGCCTTCTCCTCATTCTTATCATGATGATTCACTACACCACTCCGCCAAAACCCTGGGGCTCGATTTCAGAGGTACTCATTTATCACCAAGTTCGAAAGTATCTCCTGAGACTCAAGACTGAGCATGTCAAATTTTGGCGGCCGCAAATCCTTCTCTTTGTTAATGACCCTAGAAGGAGTTACAAACTCATTCACTTCTGCAACTCGCTCAAGAAAGGTGCCTTGTTCATCATTGGCCACGTCATTGTCACGCAAAATTTTGGCGCCTCTGTACCTGAAGCACGGCGTCAGCAAGCAGCATGGAACAAGTTCATCGACATCTCCAAAATCAAGGCTTTTGTGAATGTGGCAATTTCACCTTCCATTGAATGGGGAGCCAGAAATGTCTTCCTCTCCGCTGGGTTGGGGGGCATGCGCCCGAACATTGTTGTCCTCGGCTTCTACAACTTGCAACAGTTCAGATCAGAGCAACCGCTGGTCGACGTGCCCAGCCCGCCTCCAGAACGAAAAGCCGGATCAATCAAACGGCGTCGTACCAGTATGAGCCAAGTGCGAGGCGCATTACCTACCGACGTGTGCTATGTCGAAAAACGGACGGACATCCAGAGCTACGTTATGGTATTGGAAGATATGATCCTCAAACTGCGGACCAATGTTGCAGTTGCAATAGGTTTTGCCGATCTGGAGCTTCCTAAGGCCAAAGCAAGTGTCACAAAGAAATATATAGATCTCTGGCCTATCCAAATGTCCGCCGAGCTCACATCTGAAACGGATGGTCAACCCCAGAATGTCACAACCACCAACTTCGACACATATACCCTCATCCTACAGCTTGGGTGCATTCTCAACACTGTACCGTCGTGGAAGCGATCTTATAACCTCCGAGTCGCAGTCTTTGTTGAATATGAGACTGATGTGGAAGAGGAAAGAGCTCGAGTCACTTCACTCTTGGCAAATCTTCGAATCAGGGCCCAAGTTCTTGTATTCTGGCTGGCTTGCGGTACCGTTAAAACATACAAATGTATTGTAAACGGGCAAGAGGTGGACGAGGAGACCCAAGATCAAGTCAATAAAGTCCTGGAAGATGAGTTCTGGTGGCAAGAACTTCTTAAGCTCCGGGGAAAGTCTAGATCTGGTGATGTTAGTGCTATGGATGCCCTTTCCATGACAGACGACTTTGCTTGGCCAAACTCGTCTCTTCCAGGCAGAAGAGACAGTGCCTTCGTTCGGATGGATGGTCTGCGCAGGATCCTGGTTCATCCAAGAAAGAGATCGTCGTTTGGCAATTTGTCCAGCCTTGGTGTGAGTCTTTCTATGAGAACTTCGCGCATAGATGACGACATGCTTAGCCGACACGCATCTCATCCAAGCGACTCTGAGCGCTCCGATTTCGAATCCGATTCCCAGGACGAGGACGAGGAAGAGTCCGATGCAAGCTTATCAGAAGATGACGGAGATCAGATCCAGGAGTCGTCCGCAAGTCTGAGGTCCGTACTCAAAACCAAATCTTCGTCGTCCAAAAAGAGTAGTCGAGCAAGCTCCAAAAAGTCCTGCCGCAAGAGGCAAAAAGAGGAAGCTTTGGGGATGGGACGCTCTGCGTTGGTCGAGTCAGAATCGCAGTTGGATGAAGAGGTTCCACGTTCAGCTGACGAGGATGTCGACCGAAGCCGCAGTCGAGCCGCATCGGACTCTGGCGTACCATCGCTGAGGGGAAGTCTTGAGGTTACCGCCTCGTCGCAAAAGTCTTGTCCAGCTTCGCCTAATTTCACATCCGAGCCTGTCCCTCTCGTCAAAGTGGCCAGCAACGAAGCCGCTGGTCCCTCAATCATGTTCGCCGACCGCCCGCACCCGCGGCGACAAAAGGCTGAAGTTAATGTCCCCATTGCAGGACGATCAATCTACCAACGGATAAAAGATGACCATGCTGCTCCTCAACCGCCCGCTTCTGGCTTTCCAATGGCTGCCTCGATTCCATTGTCCTTCAACGACTTACCGAGTCGAGCACAGCATCTGATCTTGAACGAACTCATATCACAGAATAGCGACGATACGGCCGTCATCTTCACCACACTACCAGCACCGGTAGAAGGAACATATCGCAGCGAGACGGATAGCCTTGGATATATCAGTGATTTGGAGGTGTTGGCCGGTGGACTGCCGCCGACGTTACTAGTGCATAGTAACAGCATGACTGTTACCACGAATTTATGAGACGGTCCAGCGCTCTATTCTAGGCCCAAAGAAGACCTTTTAGACTCCCTAACGTTTGTCTGAAGGCTCAGAGAAAATTAATACTTTAATTTTTAGGATTTTGAGATATTTTTCTCTCGCCTTGTTTCGCTCCATCCGTAATCTAACGTTCCATGCAATAATATCCCAGGGCTGTTTACATTCCTTCCTAGGTTCTGCTCATCTGACGCAAGAGCCAACGTAGACCAAACAAATCTTCAATCCCCCCGGAAGACATATGTATTCAAGCTTCAAAGCTAAACAGACCCCGAAGCGTTCGACATCACAGTTTTCATGTTGTCCCTGGTATATCTGGTCTTCGGTGCCTTCAAAGCGATGTGGTGCGTGAGCATTTTCGCCCATGTGTATTCTTCGGTCGGACAGACTCATGAAAACCAAAAAGAGGCCACCTAATACCGCTCCGCCTTGTTAAGTTTCCTAGCCGTTTTGATCTGGCTCCTCGTATTCTGTCCCCTGACAGGCAAATTCATAGCATGTCTGCGTCCTCTATATGTCCCCGTATCTCTCAGTCTTGTGATATCTTGTTGCACTTGCCGTCTCAGGTGGTTTTCAATCTTCATGGAATCCAAGTGAGCAGTCAGGTCGAGGACTTGGTTCTGCGTGAGTTCGCCGACTTTGATGGTGTTGTGTAGGTGGAAACGCGACATGATCCGGGCTCGAGTGGCAGGGCCGATGCCGAAAAATGTTTCGAGCGACCTCTGGAGAGATGATTAGGCGCATTGGACATCGGGCGCAAGACTTCCAAATGGTGAGATGTAGTTACATACCCATACGAAACGGTGTTCGGGGAAGTTGACCCCTAGAATGAAGACCTGATGAATGTGTCGTCAATACGGCTGGTAGGTAAAGCGATGTTCAATACTTACCATTTGCTGCACCTCTCTCTCTGTTCGCTTATGGTGTTGGGGGTGCCGGCGACTTGATCTTCCTAGGCTCTATTATTGAAACAGATTTGTCTACAAAAGTTGCGATAGTACCGCCTAATTCAGCCTTGCCGCCGCTTTAAACTTGGGGTGCCACATCTCAGCCCTTCCAAGCCCCCATCGAAATAGTTGTCTGAAACATCCTTGGAGCATCCAATCTGTCATCTGTCAGCTACAACCTTTCTGTCTGTTCCTTTCTCCTTCTCAGTCATCCTATCAGTCAACCCTTGCTGTTCAATGTGGTTCGAGATGGCTAATATCCAGCGGGTCGTTATCTCGCTGATAGTCATCTTGACCGCTGCCTTCTTGTTCATGGGACAGACAGCGCAGGCAGCGAAAGGTCCCAAGATTACCCACAAGATCTTCTTTGATATTGAGCACGATGGCCAACCGCTAGGCCGGATTGTTATGGGTCTCTACGGTAAGACCGTGCCAAAGGTAAGATACCTTTAATGCAGCTACTTTTGTTCGAGGGCTTCCAACTAACAGCTCTCTCACCACCCCAGACCGCAGAGAACTTTCGAGCACTCGCCACAGGCGAGAAGGGCTTCGGCTACGAAGGATCGACCTTCCACCGCGTCATCAAACAGTTCATGATTCAGGGTGGTGACTTCACAAAAGGCGACGGCACTGGCGGCAAGTCGATCTATGGTGACAGGTTTGAAGATGAGAACTTCAAGTTGAAGCACACGAAGAAGGGCCTATTGAGCATGGCCAATGCGGGAAAGGACACAAACGGGTCACAGTTCTTCATTACCACCATTGTTACAAAGTACGCACCCCCCCCCCCCCCCCCCCCCCGGAGCCCCCCGCCGGCCATCGACCCCCACACCCCCCCCCCCCCCCCAGACCCCCCCCCCCCCCCCGCCACCCCCCGGAGCTACGTCCTCCGCGGTGGACATTCTTGGCTAACAATACAAGCATAGCTGGCTTGATGGGCGTCATGTTGTCTTTGGCGAAGTGCTGGAGGGCTACGATGTTGTCGAGAAGATCGAAAACGTACCCAAGGGATCGGGTGACCGTCCAGCCAAACCTGTCAAGATAGTCAAGAGCGGAGAGCTGCCTGTGCCACCCGAAGGTATTCATAACGAACTTTAGGATTTGAGGGCAGGTACTGCTCTCGGATTGCTACACATGTGTGAAGAAGGACTAAGACACGTTTGACAGAACAACCGATCTATTCGACCGTACATCCCGAATATGGGGATGACGACGATCAAGAGGATGATTCTGGGACAAAACTGCCTATAGCAGACGACGAGACGGAGGCACCACCCGAGGGATTGCCCACAATTGGGGAAGTATCTGGCCCTACTGAAGGTCTAGCTACCCAAGCATACGTGCAGAAGGCAGTGCTCTTTCTTCTGATCATGGCGGTCGTTTTGTACGTAGTTCGCAGACGCAGATCGCAGTCCCAAAAGCTGGACGATAAAAGCATGGCATGAGTAGATGCCATAAAGATGGATTGGGACCTTGGTCTCATTATGAGTTGGCCTGCAAGGATCCCTTTTCCCAACATTACATGTACCTCGTACGGAGTGCCTATTGATGCAATCTTGGCCAAGTCTTTTGCCCCTTGGTGGCAAAGTACTGCACCAATAGGGCATGGGCTGGCTCTTGGCAAACTGCGCTTTTATTTGATTGTCCAGTTGCTTCTAGCCTGGCCGATCGGCGCATGTAATGATCACCTGCTCGCCACTCCCTAAAAATTTTAGGCTGCGCTTTCAAAGACTTTTTCATCTTCTCAAACCACATTTCCATCAACCTCCTCCTATCTACACAACAACCACAACCGACAATTCTACAGTCCTTCTTGTTTCTGTCTTTCGTTTTCACTTTCGGATAGACTTGGAGAGGCGTTCTGTGTCTCTCATTCTATCTGCCGGACACGAAAGACCAAGCAATCGTCAGCGATTGATTCATTAGACGCCACGACAGTCTCACTTCACCTTTCAAGCAGCGACTATCACAACTACCTCTTTTCTTCACCCAGTCAAAATATTCCAGACGCCGGTTGCCTGTTTGATCCCATTCAATCCGTGAGTCTCCCACCTGTTCATCGGCTCCTGCGTCCGGTTTCTTGCCACACTCTGCAATTCCTACTCGCTGTCCGAGTGTGAGGTCTTCTGGAAATTTCCCTCAAAGATCGTCCTTCGACTACCTTTATTAATTGGTGTCATTTTCAGCCTCAACTGACCGTTTTATCTTCAGAAACAGATTTCGGTATCCGCCCAAAAATGGCTGATTCTTTGAACATGAACGGTCTCTCTCTAAACGAATCCAAACACGCTCCAGGCAACCCGATGCCCGCTCGTGCGTACATCCCTCCTCATCTTCGCGGCCAGAGTGCTCGTGGTCCTCCAGTGATGGGCATGGACGGAGCAGGTGCTGCACCTGCACCTGCAGCTGCGCCTGCGCCCAATGCTGGAAACCAAGGGTTGAATGGAAGTGCCTGGGCCACTAACACGTATGTGAGACAAAAACCTAAAACCCTCAAATTCTTACTTACAAACCACAGTCAAAGCAACGGCAGCTGGGCAGCGGCCCCTGATTTCAAACCTGGCCCTGGCGCTCCTGGTCCCCAAGCCAACGGCTGGGGTGCTGGTCATACTCCTCGTCCTTTCAACCCGAACGCATACGGTGCTCCCGGTGGGGGCCATGGCGGTAGTCATGGGAGCGGATACGGTGGGGGTTACGGTGGTAACACTGCTCGTGGTTCAGGAGACGGCCAATGGAGAGACGGTCAACACATTGCGGGACCGCCCAACCCAAAACTCGAGCGTGAACTGTTCGGCACTCCAAACGACCCGACAAAAGCTCACACTGGAATCAACTTCGCCAACTATGACGACATCCCTGTTGAGGCTAGTGGCCACGATGTCCCGGAACCTGTCAATGCGTTCACAAACCCTCCTCTCGATGACCACCTTCTAAGCAATATCAAACTTGCACGATACACTACGCCGACGCCTGTACAGAAGTACTCTATCCCGATCGTCATGGGAGGGCGAGACCTTATGGCTTGTGCCCAGACTGGTTCTGGCAAGACTGGTGGTTTCTTGTTCCCCATCCTGTCACAGGCCTTTCAGAATGGTCCATCTGCCACACCTGCAAGTGGAGGTGGTTTCCGTCAGCGCAAGGCTTTTCCAACATCCTTGATATTGGCCCCGACACGTGAACTGGTCTCCCAAATCTATGATGAAGCACGAAAATTCTCCTACCGTTCATGGGTTCGACCCTGTGTGGTTTACGGTGGTGCCGACATTGGTACTCAACTTCGCTCTATTGAACGAGGTTGTGACTTGCTCGTTGCTACCCCAGGGCGTCTCGTTGACCTCATAGAGCGAGGCCGTATCTCCCTGGCGAACATCAAGTACTTAGTTCTTGACGAGGCCGATCGTATGCTCGACATGGGTTTCGAACCGCAGATTCGCCGTATTGTCGAGGGTGAAGATATGCCTTCAGTCCAGAACCGCCAAACCCTCATGTTCTCCGCTACTTTCCCACGCGACATTCAGATGTTGGCAAGGGACTTCCTCAAGGACTACGTCTTCTTGTCAGTCGGTCGAGTGGGTTCCACATCCGAGAACATCACCCAGAAGGTTGAATACGTGGAAGATCACGACAAGCGCTCTGTCTTGCTCGACATCCTCCATACCCACCGCAACGGTCTCACTCTCATCTTCGTAGAGACCAAACGCATGGCCGATACCTTGTCCGACTTCTTGATCAACCAGGGCTTTCCAGCTACTGCAATCCACGGTGACCGCACTCAACGCGAGCGTGAGCGAGCTCTGGAGTTCTTTCGCAATGGCAGATGCCCAATCATGGTTGCTACAGCTGTTGCCGCACGTGAGTAATCCCCAGCTTCCTTATATTCTCTTTCCCTCCTTCTCTCTTTCCTTCCCTCCTTTCCTTCTTTCTTCCCAAATTGGATTCCTGGATGCCGCAGGAGCTACACGGCATGTCTCACACAATCATCATGGATTGTCATCTTCTTCCAACCTGGATTCCTGGCCTCAGAACACCACTTTTTGGATCTTCCTGAAAGGGCTTTCTGGAACTTTCATTGCTCAACCTCTCATCACTTTCGCCGACTTCATGGGCCAGACACAGAAGACACTTCAGAGTACATGAAGTTGTACACGTGGGCTCTCCTCTCAGACTGATAGAGCCCTCAAGAACCTCACCCTCGACCGCGAATTTCCTCCTCAAGATGACCTGCAGTCTTTCATGGATTCTATTACTTTCGACTGGGCCCCCGGTTTGTTGGTGACCATCAAGTCTGACGAACCCCCCAATCTCCTTCAAGGATCTACCCATGCACTCTGCTACGTGGGCTGTCTATGTTATCATGTTAGAAAAAGCTGGCAAAAGAGCAAGAGTGTACATTAGCAGTGGAACCTGTGCAGATGCGCGGCGTCAACAGCGGATGGGTCAGTATGACCAGAGGATCCAGCAGCTACAAGTGCATTCCTCACTATGTTGAGGAGAGCTTGAAAGAAGGATTCGAGATCACTTCCAAAGGCCTTCTGGCATGGACGTCAATTCCCCTACCTTGCGATGTCTTCAGACTGCACTGTCTTGTCCGCGTGATGGAAGCAACATTCAGCATGTGTTTCTGGACCATGAAATCTCGGGATACGGATTACAACATGCCTAGTCTCTGTCCATGGGTTCACAAAAATTTCACCTACGATGGTCTATGCACCCATTTCTCAATCAACAAATCCATTCCAGGAACCCCTGCGAGCGGCACGCCGGAGGAGATCAACGCGCTTGCTGAGGAAAGAAGAAAGGAAATGCAAGCACTGTACATCGCCAACAAAGGTCCTGGAGTCCCTGCTGCCAAAACAAAAGCGTACGGAGAAAGCAGCCCTTGTGGAACAGAGGTATCGATGTGATATCTGCGATCTCACACTTCGTTCCAATGCAAAAGTTTCTAGCCCATCTGGATACTCAGCTTCACAAGAATAAAGCTGCCGGAATTGGGCCTCGTACAACAGGTCGTGGCGGCTCACAGCTCGCTATAGCTAAGAAGATGCACTGGTGCCAGGTCTGGCAGAATGCCGCTCCTTCAGCTGCCAGGATGAGAACCCATCTGAATGGTCCTCGCCATGCAAAGAAACTTTGAGACATCGCCGCGAAGCAGAAGCTCGCACAATCCTGACGACATTTGGATCCCATGGATTTCGTTTCTGTCACGTTTATCCCTGTGAACATTTACTAACCACAATCTTTCATTTTTCAGGAGGTCTCGATATTCCCAACGTCACTCATGTCATCAACTACGACCTGCCCACCGATATCGACGACTATGTTCACCGAATTGGTCGTACCGGTCGTGCTGGCAACACCGGTCTGTCGACCGCTTTCTTCAACCGCGGCAACCGTGGCATTGTTCGTGATCTCATTGAGCTTCTCAAGGAAGCAAACCAGGAAGTTCCAAGCTTCTTGGAGAACATCGCTCGTGAAAGTTCTGGTTTTGGAGGTGGTCGCGGCGGACGTGGTCGCGGTGGTGCTGGCCGTGGTGCTTCCGCCACTCGTGATATGCGTCGTGTGGGCGGCGGCATGGGTGGTGGTCCTCCTTCCTACAGCGGCGGATACGGCGGTGGCAGCTACGGCGGCAGTGGCGGTGAGTCCCGACCAAGTTCCATTTTCCCAAATCATACACTGACACAATCAGGCTATGGCGGTGGGGCCTCTTATGGCGGTGGGGCCTATGGCGGAGGATACGGTGGTGGCAGTGGCGGAGGATATGGCAATCCGGGGGGTGCCACAGGGCCTTCATCCTGGTGGTAAACGGTTAACGGCGTTTTCTGGTGGATCGACATTTCCGCCTCTTGTCGACATGGGGTTCTCTTTTCTACTTCAACATTTGCACTCTCGAACAGTGACCGGGCGTTGCCCTCGAAGCCAATGGGCAGGCTTCTCCAGCATGGACTTTCTGCTTCGGTGACGACGACGACGCCAACGGCATATTTTTCGAGACGACTGTTTATTATCGGGCACAGCATGATACACTGATAGATAGCGTTGGCTTTTTTTCCGGATCGATTCCCAGATACCCCTCAGCATGTCGAACTGCCTCATGTGAACAGAGGGAACGGACGATACGTGCAGACGAACATCAGACTCACACCACGGCGTCGGTTTGGAACGAAAGAGAGTGACGGCGCAAACTCGAACCTTGAAACAATGGGATGATGAGACTCATCAGAAGGCTCTGAAATGTATGGGGGCCGCGGGGCTGGAAGGACAGAATCTTCCGGCCTTTGACGAGATTCGTTTTTCACCAAAAGAACCAAAAGTTATTTGCGGGTTTCTCTCTCTTTCGACATCCTGTGGGACATGATGAATTCAATAGACTTTTTCGACATGGACATGACACAAAAATCAATCACGAGCTTTTATGGGAGGCCAACGGCAGAAGACTGGGAATCAACGGGAAATAAATGGATGGGGATATTCTACCACGGAAAATGAAGAAGAATAATATTGCGAAAGACCATCTGTGCATCTTCCCGGAGTTTTGCTGCCCAGGACTCGATCCACACTCGAGAGCTTGTGCTTTGATGATGACTGAGCTTTCTTCATACGAGACCCAGAGGGAAAAGGTCTTCGCTGGCTGTTGTTAGATCAGGCTCGCCAGGCCACCATTGCACTTTGCTAGCAAAAATGAAATTAAGAATCCAAAGGGAACCATGATCGATCGACGTGTTTCGTGTTTTTTCTTTTTCCTCCTTTCAGGCCGAGACATTGTCACGATTTTCGTCCGTGGAAGCACGTCTTCCTTTGCCGACTCTGCTGTGTGATCCAAGTGCCGGTGTCAGGAGTTTGATATTGGGATCATCGTGCATGTACATACTTGGCCTTATCTCCATTAATTCCACCGTTTCACCAATTTTGGTCTGTTTCCACATCCCTGATGCCAAAACTAGAGGCCACCCATTGACTATTTGACCGCGTTCGGCCGACGATGGAGCAAACCCAGATCAATAGCTAAACCCACACCCACACCCAAAAAGCGGACTTCGGGAAGGACCCTGGACGGGTCAAGCGAAGAACGCAGTGCCGGATGAGGATATGGGCACCCGCCAGTGACTCGGCAGAGAGCCCTACAACCACCCAGCAACCCTTGCCTCACACAAGAGCCGAGCACGACTCTAGCATTCGCTAATGCACCACACCTGCTTGGGCAGCATGGAGATAAGTCCAGGAAGGTCAGTTCCTTGCATATTACTATTGCCTTGAGGAGAGCTTCCGTCTCCGCATCCAAGGGAGCAAAACGTCGAGGAAGATGGCGCACAGACGTCACGTATGGTCAAGCCCTTTTATTGGACGTGTCTTGTCTCTCACTTTGTTATTCTGAGAACGGAGAGAACGCTGGTTGGTGGTATAAGAACAGCTCCAATGCCCTCTTATCTGTGATTCCTCAATCAACTCCAAATCACAAAATCTCTCGCTCGCAACAATCAAGACAAGCAGCTCCGGCAACCATGGGTGATCGTTTCGCTCCCGCTCCAGAACCGCCTACGGAGCTGGGTCGGTATCGAGTCCTCTCTCTCAATGCCGGCGTCAGAGTCTCGCCCTTATGTCTAGGTGCTATGTCCATTGGCGACGCCTGGAGTGAGGTGAGTTTGCGGCGATGGTTTGGATTCCCTCCGCGGCTAACCATCCATCTTGCTGTCTTCTAGTACATGGGCAGCATGAGCAAAGAACAATCCTTCAAGCTCCTAGATGCCTTCGTTGAGGCCGGTGGGAACTTCATCGATACCGCTGTACGTCGCGCCCACTTTCTCAATGAGACTGAAACTGCCCAAGTTTGTGTTTGCCGACTGTGACTGATCGACTGGCTCAATGTTTGCGCCCCTTCAGAGCAACTATCAAGACGAACAATCGGAAAAGTGGATTGGTGAATGGATGAAGGCAAGGAAGAACCGGGATCTGATGGTCATTGCCACCAAGTCTGTCACTTTTGGCCATGCCATCCCCAAAGATCAGGTTGCTGAGACAGTGCCATCTAGGTACAGCACACCCTACCGAAACTGGGAGCTCGGCAAAGGCAAGACGGTCAACTACGCCGGCAACTCCAAGAAATGTCTGCACCTCTCAGTCAGAGATTCCCTTGAAAAGCTCCAGACCGACTACATCGACATACTATATGTCCATTGGTGGGTAAGTCTCTCGGAACATTTATCTGAGTTCTGTTCGACCTCTCCTTCGTGCCTCTTTTCCTTCCTAGAATACGGTGATGCTAAAATGACTAGGATTGGACAACTTCCATTGAAGAGGTGATGGATAGCCTGCATCTCCTTGTTCAATCCGGCAAAGTCCTCTACTTGGGAATCTCCGATACGCCAGCATGGATTGTCTCGGCGGCAAATACCTACGCTCGCGCCCACGGCAAAACTCCCTTCTGCGTGTACCAAGGTCAGTGGAACGTGATGCAACGAGACTTTGAGCGCGAAATCATCCCCATGGCTCGTCACTTCGGGATGGCATTGGCGCCGTGGGACGTGATCGCCGGCGGCAAATTCCAAAGTAAGAAAGAAATCGAAGAGCGCAAGAAACGGGGTGAAGGGCTGCGCAGCATGTTCAGCTCGGGCGAGCAGACGCCTCAACAAGAAAAGATGTCGGCAGCGCTGGAGAAAGTGGCTCAGGAGCACGGGATCGAATCGCTCAGCGCCATCGCCCTCGCCTACGTCCTGCAAAAGACACCAAACGTGTTCCCAATAGTTGGCGGCCGGAAAGTCGAGCATCTACAGGCCAACATCAAAGCGCTCTCGATCAGATTGACAGACGAGCAGATTCGATTTCTGGAAAGCCAGTCAGAATTCTCCCCCGGGTTTCCTTCCTCGTTTGTAGGAGAGTCACCGAGGGCGACAGGAAAGAATACATGGATGTTGTCGATAAGTGCGCAAATGGCGTGGCCGACGCCGGAGAAACCTGTAGGGAATTAGGAGGGGGAAAGCGAAGGCGGAAGAACAGGAGAGGGTGGAAGTAGAGGTGTTAGATAGGAGAAATAGATGAAGATGCAAGAGAAGGGACGAGGAAATAGTTGCTGCTGCGGTCCATTCTGGGGCAAAAAGGCAAGATCCTCAGAGAGGTTGCTGGAAGAGGTCAAAAAAGCGGTGAAAATAGCAATTCAACAAGTATCCAAACATGTGAACGTCGCTCTTCTTTGTTTGATGTTGCAGTTTATCGTGTTCTCGGGCGGATCGTTCATTCAATCAAGGGCGAATTGATAGCTTTGCACTCCCGCTCAGCTCTCTGAGCGAAGTGTATGGTTCTGGCAATGGTTGCATTGAACATATCTTTCAACCAAGGCTAGATTTCATAGTTGGCTTCAAATCGGCGCTGGTCATGATGCAGGAATTTCGGCGTTAGTGCCACTTTTGAGACGAGAATATTGGACGAGAGGAGGATGATCAAGGAAAGACCGCAAACATATGTCCTTTCTTCTCTGAACACATGTAGATCTGGCACTCCTGCGTTCTTCATAGCACAGCCGGGGCTGATGCCTCCTTCTGCCCTTCATTCCATTACAACCTCCAACATGCCCAGGTCTGAATTGACCAGCATGTCCACTCTCTCGATCTTCAATCTCCCATCGGCGTCCTTGAACAAAGTCTTCCATTCACCCAAGCTTCGTTCCTTGCACATAAGAAGGCCCAAGCTTTGCATCAGCGCCTCTTGATGCAAAAACATCTCCCTGGGTTTCTCTGGCAGCACCCGGTCGATGATGAACAGTTTCGTATTCCCTTTGGCTATGACAGGGATCAAGTCCTCGAGGATTTTCACGTAATCTCTGTCCGGCCAGTCGTGCAGGACTCTGCTGACGAGTAAGCTGTTGGAGACGGCCGCACCAAATCCGCAGCCTGTGGTTGGAAAAAGTTTTTGGTATGGAATGTCACCCTGTTTCGCAGTTCATCTGGTATTGCCGCTTTTGCTGGCTCTGCATTGGTCTCCAAGGCCTGAACAAACATTTCCAGGTTCGGATGCGCCCGGGCAATGGGGACACTGATGTGGCCGCAACTGCTGCCAAGGTCAACAACGACGGCCTTGCCCAGGCCTCCCCGGCCAAAGCCTCAGATGTATAGCGTGTATTTTGGACCCATGATGGCCTGCCCAGCGATTCGCACAGCAGTGCTGAACTTGGCCGTACCGTCTGGCTGCTCTTGAACTATATGCCATAGTTCTTGTAATTTTAGATAGCCAGATGAACCGGGACAGGAGGCGTATTGGCCTCGCTCTCTCCTGGACTAACTCTAAGACTCTCTTCCACTATCATACCATCTAATATCACGGCCGTCAAAAGGATTTGTTGGATGTTTGGAGAGAAAGACGGAATGGCAGCAGATAGCGTCGTATGGGCAAGAACCCTTGGTTTCGGCTCGTAGAATATGTGCATGGTGTAGGCATACCTCAGGATCCGTTGCTAAAGCGCAGTAGGGAGCTGAAGGTCTGATGCCAACATCTTCACAGTGATGGGCCCACCCAGGGGTACTGCTTCGGCAAGTTTCAGTTGATTGATTGCTCCTAGCATTACGGGATTTTGGTTCGGTCAGTGCTGACCAGTTCTCGAAGCGTCTTGGTCGGTCCACACGCGAGGGTGAAAAATTGACTGGCTTGCGTGAATAGCCAAGCTCGAGCCTAGAGAATCTCTAGGTACTCTGCAGCACCATGGTAATCTCGTGGGCCAGTGACTTCAAACGATAGCTGAGGTAGGGACTTTTCGTCCAGTTGCTGTTGGAGTGTTTCGGCAGCTTTCAAGATCTGACCGGCAATGTCGACAAGTGAGGCTGTTACTATCTTTGAGCACCATCGACAATAGTCGAGAGAGTGTGTGAGAGAGAAAGAGAGCACAGACTCTAGTAATAAGGGCGGCTTCTTTTGGTAAGGTTGGGTCCCTCCTGGCTGAACACCCTCTTCGTAGCTCTAAAGCACCGAACGGAGATTTCCTGACATATGGCTAGAGGACCCCTTTCTTCAACCTCAGCCACCATGAGCTGATTGGGATGGTGTCGGATACCTTTACGTCGAAAATAGTCGTACTCATCCCAGAGCGCAAGCCTTTAGTATTGCACAACGCAGAATCTGTAGACATACCCTTCACCCAGTCGAAGGCGTCGGAGAACGCAGCGGTCGATAATCTGATTCGGCATAAGCTGATACTGAGTTGGAAGGCTCCCTCCGCTCCCTAATTCAATGACTGAGACCGAGATATAAAAAGGTTTTGTGAATCTTGGCTCAATGAAGAAGCACCACCAGGCTCTTAACAACAGTGGCGCTGCCATCTTCAAGCTGGTACAAACCGAGCGACCTTTTAACACTCCCTATGGTACAAACACGAGATGTTGTCTGGCCTCGAATCACGGAACCAGTCTTTGTTCTCTGCCGCCGTTCTTTGTCTCAGTGGTTTGATGGTTGCTTTTGTCAGGCGCTCCTTCGAGAAACTCGCAGAGCATGTATAGTATAGCCATGCGTCAAACAAAAGAACGGACAAAGGCATTGTCAAACGTTGCTGCTAATTTTGAATCCACACTTTTACTTCTTTCTTCGTCACGTCGACATGAAGGCTGATCAAAACGAGACACACTGCCTTATGAATGTTCTGCGCAACTTTTGCGCTGAGACAACGGCACAGTTCAGTGCTTTCTCGCGGTCCAGGTCTCACTGATCGTGCTGGAGAACCCACGCAAGGCTTGCTGGGAGTCGGGTACAAATAGTTGAGAGAGGTCCGACCGGACTAGACTTTCCATCGAGCCCACGGTCTTCCCAAGCTTTCCCACTTAGCAAAATTGTGTACGACGAAACGGTACCTATTCCTCTGCTCCCATCCCGCTACACATCGGTTTCGTGATACCATATGCAACTCACCCAGCATTCGTGGCTGTCAACTCCGAGATTACAATGTTTTCCTCCGATACCCGTGTAAAAAATGCAGTAACAGCGGCAGAGCCTCAACCATCTGGGCTTCTGCCGAGACCATGAGTTTGCATCCGACGACTCATGGCACATCCCCAGCAGATGCTTTATCGACGTCGGATTTCAAACACTGGACCCCTTCAGCAAGAGACACTTGTCAGAACCGCCGACCCCACCTTCACCGTTCACCAGACATTCGGTCGATGAAGATCATTTGACGCAACCGCTGACTCCGACCAAAATCAAAACCTGCGACCCAGACATTTGCAGGAGGCTGCTTCGTCAATTGACGATACGGAAACCCAGTCCATGTTGTGCTCCGGAAAGTCAGCGCGGAGCATATGCAGCCACAAGGGTTGAAGGGAGAGATTATCGCATTGATGGGGTCATTAGGGATAGTCGCTGTGAATCGCCGCTTTGACATCGGCCGCAGGAATGCAGGATGAGCGGGCAGATTTTCCACCTTGATTGTGTAGTGATGTACCCAGAAAATAGGGTGTCCATGGCTTGGTCCGCCCAATGTACAAAGCACTGTTTTCAACCGCCCCTTGTTTCTCCCTCAACTTCAATCTCCACGGGTTCTTGCTTTGCGCTCTTCCCTTGGGCAGCAATAACCTCACTGTTTGCTCCAGCCTTGGCCATCTCTTCCTTTTCATCATCTGCACAGCCGCAGTCATAGAAATCTCCGATGTTGGCGCAATCAAAAATAGGTTTGCCTTTACGTTCATTCACCACGTTATGCACGAAACAAGCCCAGGCCGCCGCGCTCGAACGCGAAGACGTCTGTGGAGGATACTTTTGGAGAATCTGTTGGAAATGCTCTGCACATTCACCGCACGGGTACAGGCGGGCGAAGAGGTAAATGTAGCTCTTGAGGGCATCGCTCTCGTCTTGCGTCGGCTTGTCCGGAAACCGTGCCATGGTAGTGTGCAGGACTTTCCAGGCTGCGCGGCCGAGTTCTGCCTTGAGGGTTTCGTTTCCGAGTTTGCTCATGACGTGGTCACCGTGTAAGGTCTCGGGAGTGGCTGTTACGTTTGGAATTTCTGCAACGTCTGGTGGGGGAAACGAATGTTGGAAGCGGTCGGCGTGGGAGAGAGCGGTCATGGGGCGCTCGTGATCGCGAGTCCAGACGACATACCATACGAAGAGAGCAATGGCAGACAGGAGCACCATAAAGGGAGGCGGGCCTCGAGGCATGTTAGGAAATGCTGATTGTAAATATCAGAGACGACTTTTGCTCAAAACACCACGATAGGGAACACAAGAGACCAAAGAAACAGAGCAATGCCGATATGTGACGACGACAGCAGATACGTATGAAAAGGGATAGAAGCGAGTCACTCGTATTAGAGGAGTTGGTACATGAACTCAGGTGATGTCTCGGACGAGCGTGGACCAGCAAAGCCAACTAGCCAGATTGGAAGCCCAGTGTACGGAGGAGCAACACGCACTTGGTACCCGATATTTGGCCTCATTCCTTGAGAAGCTCGGAAAATCCGGGGTTCAGGGTTCAGCCACCTTGCGCCGCAGTTTAAAGCAGCATCGATTATCATGTACGAGGTACACAGTATTATTGCAAGACGTGCTCCGATCTCGCTCGCCTGACAGTGGAAAAGAAGTTAGAAGAGTGCAACGCTCGTCCCACGGCACCACTCCTGCTTGAGCTGGCACAATACAATAGTACTCCGCTATTCAATTGCCACAACACCAGACAGAAAGACTTACGGACATCTGCTTACGGTCTTGGAATTTGTGACCCCAAGTTCGGGATCCTACCGGGTGGGAAAAGATTTTTTTTCTCTTACTTTTATTCAAGAGAGCCTCGTGCCGACTCATATTTGTGACTCTGCCCTCCGAAATCTACACACTTCCCACCTCCAATACGGGGTATTAGCATTTGTGCACATTCTAGAACTGATACAGTGAGTTCTAGTTGACTTAGATTGCAATTGAGCGAGCCACAAGCGCAAAAGGGACAAAAGAGCACCCAGAGCATCAAATGGCTCCCTTCCCTCCTCCACCAGTGAGCACAATTGGTATGTTTCTTTCACTCCCTCCTTTCCTGGGCACGAATCAGTTCAAGAACTTCTATGTAGAGACTCTGCTACTAACGATATGGTTTAGACTGGAGCAACGTCGGCTTCAAAGTTCGCGAAGTTAACGGACATGTTGAATCCACCTTCCGCTATTCCTCTCCTACACCACAATGGAGTAAACCACGTTTCGTGACTTCTCCTCACCTTTCAATCCATGGCATGGCCCCCGGCCTCAACTACGGTGTCCAGTGCTATGAGGGCATGAAGGCCTTCCGACAACCAGATGGATCCATCACCATCTTCCGTCCAGATCAGAATGCTCTACGCATGCAACGTTCTGCCGAGTTCATCTCTATCCCCCCTGTGCCCGTGGAACATTTCCTGGAATGTGTGAATTTGGCTGTGAGCATGAACGCCGAATTTGTCCCCCCTCATGAGACCGGTGCTGCCATGTATATCCGTCCATTATTGTTCGGCTCTAGTGCGCAACTGGGACTGAATCCACCAGACGAATATACTTTTGTCGTATTTGTGATGCCGACAGGCGTCTACCACGGTGTGCATGCCGTGGACGCCTTGATCTTGGAAGACTTTGACCGTGCGGCGCCGGAGGGAACGGGCAGTGCAAAAGTGGGCGGTAACTACGCGCCCGTGTTGCGGCACAGCGAAAAGGCACGATCTCAAGGGTATGGCATCACCTTGCATTTGGACAGCAAGACACGCTCCGAGATCGACGAGTTCTCCACCTCGGGATTCTTGGGCGTGCGGAAAGACGGCGACAAGACGACGATTGTGGTGCCCGACTCCAAGAATGTCATCAAGTCCGTAACGTCGGAATCTGCCTGCCAAATCGCCAAAGACATCCTCGGCTACAGCGTCGAGAAACGCCGGATTGACTACAGCGAACTTCCTCAGTTTATCGAAATCATGGCCGCCGGTACCGCGGCAAGTTTGGTGCCCATCAAAAGCATCACAATGAAATCCAAGGGAGATAGGTTCGAATATCCGGTCAACGAGAAGCTTGATCCGGGGCCGGTCTGCGCGCAGCTGTTGAGCACGTTGAAGGGTATCCAAATGGGCAAGGTAAAGGATCAGTTCGCGTGGAATATGAAAGTTACGGAGCCGTCCAAGGAGTTTGCTCATTCGGCCACGAATGGCGGCGTTCACGGCGGTGTGGATGACTTACCGTGAGGCGAGACACGGTGAGAGCGTCTCTGGCTGGTGCTCAAGGGTGATTATGAACCACAATGTCAAGGGAACCGAGAGATTCGGACAGATAGAGGAATGAGGCGCAGTAGAACTGCGTTTGCCTAAGCAACAAAAGCCTGCCCCAAAACATTAAATAGCTCTAAAGGCGCTCCCTGTACAGAATGGGGCTCATGCAGTCTTCATCCATAATGTCAAAGGGTTGTTCCATCCTGCTGGGCTGGCGCTGTCCACAAGTAGACTCCTGCACGCTGACCATTCCAACGCCTTGAAAATGTCTATTCCAGGGTGGGTATCAATATCATGAATCGTCGAATATCATAAAACATTCTGCGCAAAGGAAACCCTACTCCCACAACAAGGACCAATAGAGCATCTAATTCATTCAGGCGTAGGTAACTGAAAATCTTCATCGTCCAGCTTTGCGTTTCCAAAAGGGAAGAAGTCAGTTTCGAACAGGTCATCGGAGAGATCATCGGCCCTCTCCTGCGCAATGTCCTGCTCTAGCAACTCGTATTGCTTGAGTCTGAACCACATATCACTGTCTTCGGGCGGTGAGCCATACAAATCACGAAAGTCGCGTGGGTGGATCGACGCTTGGGCGATCTTGATGGGCTTGGAAGCTGTGGCAATTCCGCTTCTCTCGGTTTCCGCACTTCTAGGGATGATAGAAGGAGCCTTCTTTGCTTTGGGAAACCCAATTGTGTTTTTGGACACGGCGGCATGAGCTGGACGGGATAATGACGAGCGCTGCGGGAGAGTCGACGGTTTGGGTTTCGTGACAAGAAGAATTCCTTTCTTCTTCTGCTCCGACGCTTGAGTAGTTTTTCTTGTAGCTGCAGGCAGATACACCTGCGAATCAGAGAGAGCAGCAACGGCTGACTTCGCTTGCATGGTGTCGACCCTTGAGAGTTCAGGCCGTTTCTTCTTTGGTCCTGCTGCGATCATCTTGTCGACCTGTGCGTTGAGCTTAGCGAGTGTTGGAAATACAAGCTCGCCCATGTTCTCGAGACTTTTTTTAACACGTTCTGTATCGAAACGCTGCCACTCTTCCTCTTCCTTTTTGAGACGCAGTGACATTCCGTTCTCGTCTTTGGGCGAGTTATACGGATAGACCACTCCATAGCTGGCTTGCAGCTCTTCGGTAAGTAGTGAATCTTCGTTGAACTCAATCGGAGGATCTGGTAGCTCAGTTGGTGGAGGAGGTGCATATCCAAAATCTGGTTCTTGTTCCTCCGCGGCTCTCTTTACCAGAAAGTCGCCATCGACTGGTTTAGAAGGAGCACTTGCGATCTTAGACCTGCCCGATCGACGAGCTGTGAAGTGCTTTGGGATGGTTCCAGGCCCCTTTGTTGTCAGAGGGAGGGGTGCAGGTGTCTGGAAAGCCTTCACGTTGGTTGTCTTTATTCCAAGAGGTGCTCGATTGCGCGGAACCAAGGGTGTAACAAATGTACTCCTGTCTAATTTGCTCGGTCCCTCTCTACCCACAGCCTTCTGTCCGGTGAAAATGACGGGTAGATTTTCATCATTTTTGGCTGGTCGAAAAGGAGTCTTCAAGTTTCCGGGTGTCTTTGGATGCAGGGGCCGCGCGCTTTGGTTCATTGACTTCCCTGCTGCTGTGGTCTGCTGGGCGTGGATGAGGTTCTCTTGGTCTCGTGCGACTAATATGTTTGCCATTGCTGGCACGGAATGTTTATCGAATAGTCCAGGTAGTCTTGAAGATCATTTGTGGTCACACTCTAGTGCTGTCGAGTTGTTGGAGATTGCCTGAGTTGCCAGAAGCGCAGACACAGGGGTCGAATTGTTGACGCGGTTGCCCCCAGCAACGTGTTCCGGGATGCTCCTGGCGGTGCCAACGCTGCTCAATTGAGCCGTTAGAACCTGAAACCGGCCTAAAACGCAAACGGCGATGCCCCAAGCTCACGAAGCCTCGCCATTAGGCACCGAATGCCATTGGCTTGATCACCGATGACTTCCCCTCTATCCCGCAGCTGACTCCTAGCGAATGCAGCAGTGACCGCCAGTTGAGCCTTCCTATGAACAAGTATCATTTATCTATACCATCAGCCAACTCGTAATTACTCGCTCCTATTTAATTTTCTATCTAATTTTCTACCAGAAGTCGACATCGGCAACCCCTAGCCTTTGGAAAGATTCACCATGGACCGAATCAAGGAGGTACGTCCCTATCACGTCTGCACCTGCAACCTTCCCCTCGTCCTCCTGCCAGGCACCAAACAATTCACTCGGAACTGCGTTCTCCCAGAACACAGTCGATCAATCACACTTCTACTTGGCTATTGCACTCGTGTTCCCAATAAGGCGAACCATTCTTCATTCCTCACTCCCGTACCTAATTAATCCCGCATCCTCCTCACTCGTCAATCACCATCCTCGACCCGCCCATCATGGCGACGGTATTCGCTAATTTCCAGCAGAAAATGAACTCTCTCCGCATCGAGGCAGATGAGAACGCGGCCAAAGCAGAGGAGCTCAAGCAGAAAGTCAAGGCTCTCGAACAAGATAACCTCCAGAAAGAACAAGAGATCACGTCCCTCAACCACCGCAACCAACTCCTCGAGGCTGAAGTTGAGAAACTCGAGCAAGGCATCAAAGAGGCAAAGGCTCTTGCCGGCGAGTCTGCACAACATAGCAGCGAGACTGAGTCTCTTCAGCGAAAACTCCAAGTTCTCGAGGAAGAAGCTGAGCAGGCTGACAAGACCTTGAGAGAGACCAACGAGAAGTATGCGTGACCTGGTTTGACAGATGATTCCTGCTAACAGTTCCGTGCCAGGCTTCGTCAGACTGATGTCAAAGCTGGTCACTTCGAGCGCAAAGTTCAAGCGCTGGAGCAGGCGCGCGATGAGTGGGAAAACAAGTACGAGGAAATGGCCAAGAAGCATGCGGATCTGCAGAAGGAACTGCAGGAGTTGGAGCAAAGCATGGGCAATATCTAAATTGGACGAGATACCTGGTGTTGGCCATTGTGTTTGGCAAGTGCACAGTTAAGCACACTGCATAGACCACGACCATACCTACGATACCATGGGCATTTGATAAAGGGCACACCCAAAGGCGAGCGTTGAAAGTCTTGAATGAGAATCCAGAATAGCATTATCGTCCATCACCCCGTCGTTCTTGAGCCTGTTTTCGGTTTTTGGCTTTCTCTTTTCCGCGTGCCTCTTTCCTTTCTGCCTTACTCTCGTATCTGAAATTCCTCTTCTTGCGCCTTTTTGTGTCCTTTGGACGGTCTCTTGTCCATCGGCGCTTTTGCTTCCCTGACAGACCATCTTCTAACCCTGTGCCGATCTCTCCTCTCTCTTCCTCGCCATCCTTGTTCGGCTCCTGCTCTGCCTTGAACAGACCTTCTCTCGAAATATTCATCGCCTCGACTGTCACTGTTGTGTACTTCTCTTCGTCGATATATTCTGTCTCTTGATTGAGGGGAGTGGGCTCCGAGTCCGAGATCCCGCTCCATTCTTCTTCTGAGTTCTCTTCCACACCATCCTCTTTCCCCTCCCCCTCATCTGAATCAGACAGCGACCTCAATATGGCGTTAACTTCCTGGACGTGTCTTTCGAGCTCTGCCATTCTCTGTTCCCGCAGCTGGTAGGATTGTCAGCGCCAACAAATTTTGTACAGCTTGATTAGGGGATCCTTACTCTCTTCCGCTGCTCGACTCTTTCCACTCTTGCTCTCCGTTCAGCAGCCTCTTGTGCCTGCTTCGCCTTCTGCAACTTGCGTTTGTGGAACCCGGTTAGAAATTCACGACGCGCTGTCGGGTCAAAGGTAATTTCTTCAACAACAGTGGGCTCTGTTCGCCGGCGCTTCATTGGGGGAGGCATTTCGCGTGTATTACGAAGAAGTCGCTCAATACGGAGTACGTTTCGCCCTCTCCTATCTGCGCAAAGTCGCAGCCTCGCCGTGTCGAGGAGAAATAGTTTGCGGTCAGTCAAACTTGCCAAGGGTGAGTTGTACGGCAACGCATACATATCGAAGTGCATTTCTGGTCGCGCTTCGACTTCTAAGCTCCCAGTTCCTGCCATACAAGGACTCAGTGTACCAGCGGCTGCAACAAGAGTACGAAAAACTTTTCGACCACGAAAATCTGAACGGGCATTTGCTACGAGGTATTCCCGTCGCCGTTGCCCAGACCCTCTACGAGATGCCGAAGTCAATATTGACACCTCGCCCCCTCCAGGCCGCGTGGTTTGATGGTCTCTCATTAGTTCGATAGCAATACAAGGGCCGACTGACGCCGTTGCGCTTATCAGTTGAGTCTGCCTCGACTCGTAAATGGGATGTCATGCCCAATAACCCAATGCAGCCCTGTGAGAATAAGACCTTTTGAGCAAGAGCCGTCGTGGAGAGGCTGTGCGGCTCCACACGCCACTTCCCCCTTGGCTCTTCTGCATGCAGGCGGTTATGGAGGCTCACTAGGCTTTCCTCGTTCAAGAACACAGCCAACTAAGCTGAGACTGCATGGGGCGGACAAGGGGAGCGCCCATGAAAGTCTAACATGATCCTGACTGGTAGGTCCCTCAGCTGACGGAGACCACGCTCGAGAACTGGTTTTGAAGCTCTGCCGTCTGTTTACTCGCTTTGCCCCCCCCTTGGCAAAAGTTCAATTCTGGTGCCTAGCATACACAATTCTCTCGTTGCCCTGTGACAAATGGCATCAACTGAGTCATGGATCCAGTGTCTCTGACCGTTTCGATCTTTGCCTTAGGATTGTGCAACTTTTCAGCCTCATGACATCTTCTACTATAGCAAAGACTGCGGTTTTAATAACACGTGCAGTCTCGTCTATTTCCTCTTCGGACGTCCCTGCGGGCATTGAGAATTTATCAACAGAGTTCAGACATACATTCGATGCCATCGAGCGGTTGAAAAGCGCTCGCCTCTCAGCCAGACCGGTTTGAAGGGAAGGAACACCTATGCCAGCAGGCACTTGATGTTGTTGCAGATACGCATAAAACGTTGAAAGAATTACATCAGAGAATCGAGGGATTCCAACCCCCAGGGGGGATGGCGTACGCTGCGTCTTCACACACGGTATCAGTGGAACGAGAAATCCACTCAAATCCTCTTGCTCCGTCTGCAGGCTCGACGCGATGCATTGTCCTCAGTGTTTGATTCATTCATTAGGTCCGTTATGTTTCGCAGTTCTGTATAATATGCTTCCGCCGTAATCAGAGCCGAAGCTACTGCAATCAGGTCAGAGATTGCAAATATAAGGACCGTCACCGATGAGATCAGAGCAGAGACTGCAGAAATCAAAGCACAGATATACAATATCAATTCTCAGCTTGAAGAAGCCTTGACCAAGCTGCGGGAGGCCAGCTTATCTCCAATCACAGATACAATCAATATAACAGACGAATCTGTAGAGTGTGGAAAGCAGTCAATTGCTCCAGACGCTGATGCTTTGTCTGTTACGGATTCCGCCATCGACGCGCGGACCAACCCAAGTCACTCAAGAAATGGATCTATAGCAACAAACCCTTCCTCAGTTCTACCACCTCCTCCGCTGCAAGAAAAGAGGATTCCTTTGCTCCTGAAAGCATCTTCCGGGTAAAGCATTCAACCGGCATACAAACGGTACGCTTCGTCAAAGACATCTCAAGTTGCTTAAGGTCTTACACAAGCTCAGGATCAGAATCTAAACTCTCTCATAGCGTCATTGTCGATAGCAGAGACTGCCGCCAGGGGTCTTACCAGTCTTGAAATAGATGCAGCCGCTCTTGCTTTGGGCAAAGCTTATCGAGATGCTGGTCTCTTTGAAGATGCTCTTCAACATTTCCTTGAGGCGCTGACAGCACGAGAAACAGATTTAGGCCTTACCCATCCGACCTCACTCAATATTTTGGAGATCATTGCCCAGGTGCACGAGATCCAATTCGAATGGTCAGAGGCGCTGGCTTGCTATCTGACTTCCCTTGAAGGTCGAATGCGAAATTCCACCTTCGGTCATCGCCATCCATCAACTCTCGCAGCCGCAACAAAAGTGGCAAGAATGCAACAACCATTGGGTCAACATGACGGAGCTGCAAAAGAATGTTACGCTGTCCTCTCAGCGTATGAATCGCTGAACAGTGCTCAGTCACTTCCTGCTCTTTCTATTCGCCTGCACATTGCAAAGGTGAAATGGTCTCAGAGAGACATCGATGACGCTTTGTCCGAATATAATGCTGTTATAGATTAGGCAGCAACGGTAAGAGGAGGTGAGGGCCTCGTGAAACAAGCATATGCTGCAGTTCAAGCGATTCGTAGAGAGCAGCGGGGTCTAATTGTCGCTGAAGCGGAAACCCCTCTAGACAACCAACTGGAGTTTGAAGATGAGGATAGCTTTCTTCTAGGCAAGAGCGATGTCGAGTTGATCAGGAGATGTCGCAAACAGCTGGAAGACTTGAGTGCAGCACTGGGAAGGACACACCCAGACGCACTCGTAAAGATGTGCGAGCTTGCCATGGCATTTGCGAACAATGACCAGCACCAAAATGCTATAGGTTGGTTTCAAGAGGTGGTCGCCGGACATACTAAAGTGTTTGGCCCCCATCATCCTAGCCATGGAGGATAAGGCAACTCCCGAAGAACGCCTTGCGACGATGAGAAGGATGGCACTGATTTATTCTCGACAAGCTAGCTGGATGAGTCCTTGGAGCTCTATCAGAAGAAGATGGACGAATGCAAAGCCAGGCTGGGAGACGACCGTTGGCTCATGGAGAGGGTGTTTGACGAAATGAGCGACTTGTACCTGCAGAGTAATCGTCATTTAGACTCCGCTCGAGAGTATCAGAAAACACTTGACTTGCTACAGCGACGTCTCAACAAGGACAACCTGAAGTCGTTGTCAATTCTGTGCAAATTTGCCGACGTGCATCTAGAACAGCACTGGTACCAGGAAGCACTCAACCTCTACATGGCCGTCCTTGAAGCTATTGACAACACATCTCGCAAAGAGGAGGACTTTTGGAACCTGCGCCGCTTCTGCATCTCTCAGGTTGCAGCCTGTTACACGAAACTCTACAATAACGAACTGGCGCTCTCTTTCCTTGAGGAGCTTCTCCACTGCGGCGATGATGAACAGCAACTCGGTGCCCTTATGTGTATCTGCAACGTGCAAGAGATGCAAGGCAGGTTGCTCCCCGCCATTGAAACCTATAAGCGGGTTCTAGAAATGCAGACAGCAAATCTCGGCTCCAATCACCTTGATCCTCTCATGAATGTCTGGAGGATTACTTCACTATTTTATCGCGCAAGTCGCTATCAGGAGGCGTTAACATGAGCGAGTAAAGCCATTTCAGGGTTTGGAAGACTGGGCATCGACGGGGAAGTCGAGGGCTACAACACACTGGATTTCCTATCTTGTGTATACCTCCCCCTTGGCCGTTTCCAGGACGCCATTGAAGTGCAAAAGGAAGCCGTTGAGGGGTTTGAGAAGGTGCTTGGAGCACAGCATCCTTCCACTTTGAAAGCGACATTGGATCTAGCGGACATATATTGAGCCATGGAGAGGAAGGAAGATGCCGTGAGTTTGTATGAAAAGGCTTTGAAAGGCTACGAAGCACGGGGTGACAGATGTCAGGGATCAAGATACGACAGAGACAGCGGACGACGAGCAAAAGGCCGTCAGAGAGTTGAAGGGGAAAATTCAAGAGGTTGGTGGGAGCCGAACTTGCAGAAAGCAAGGGACTGGGAATTCAACCGGTAACTAGACGGTGCAATATGCGCACGCCATTGGATGGAAGAGGAGGCCAAGACTACATGATTATGTCTCTCAAAGTATCATTCGTTTGCCTGGTGAAGGATACAGCTTAGACAAACCTAACATAATCAGGGCTGAAGATGTTTTTGTTTTTGTTTGTCATTTCACTGCTTCATCTGTGAAGCGTCTGACTTTCCTTTCTTGGGGGCTACAACGGGACATTTGCCCTTCTCCCCTTCATTGCGGCCTGTTTGCTGCTGTAGAGCCCGAGGCATAGTTGTGATTGCAGATCGAGTGTTTCGCCACAGGATTCGCCTCGTCTCCTTTCCAGTTGACGGTTACCGTCAACTATCCTTTGTTGACTGTGGCCTTTGGTCTTCTGGTTTCGAGTTCGGTCGCCATGTCAAGGGTCCACTCGCTTAATCCCAACAACAGTCTACCCGAACGTGCTGCCAAAAGCAACATGTGTGGTAAACGAAACCAGGCAGCCGTCGATAATTCTGAATTTGCTGCCTTTGTTGTAGAATGCGCCAGAGCAGAGGTAATCTTCACCGCTCTTCATATTTTCTGTCCATGTTCCTTGACCCAGCATTGTGATCATATTTTCCCATTTCGGTCTGCCCATGCACAGGTACGAAATTGAAATTGGTCGCCTCCTACGCTCAGTTGCATACCCACCTTTACCTTCCTCCAAACCCAGGAGGCGGGAACCCTCGTCCCTGGCCCGGTGGTCCGCCTTGAAATCCTGGGGGCATACCTCCTGGGGGTCCTCCAGGTGGCCCTCCAAATCCAGGAGGTGGTCCTCCAAAACCCGGGAATGGTCCTCCAGGTGGTCCAGGTGGCCCTCCTCTTCCAGCCCCAGAGAACCCAGGTGGTGGCACTCCGCCCGGGAATCCTCCCGGCGGTTGAGGAGGGAATCCGAAACCTCCTGGTGGCCCTCCCAAGGGAGGCGGACCACCCATACCAACGCCTGCAACAGGACCGCCTAGGCCGACAGGAAGACCCCTGCCAGCTGGTCTGGAGATACCTGTACCAGCCTGGAGAGTTGTGGGTGCCCCTCCTGGAATAGATTGTCCTAACCTGGCACTCGGATCGGATGGGGGAGGCCCTTCAACCGAACAGCTCACAATATTCGTTCCCCTAAGAATCACAAGGCCCAAGGTTCGTTTCTCTTCGGTCTCGACGGAGGTAGCTGCAGCTGCAGAGCCTGGGGCTGCTGGCGCAGAAGATTTGGCCTGCTTGCGTTTGACCTTGCGGAATTCTTCGGTGTCGGCGAGTACGAGGTTCATGTGCTGTCACACAAGAAGGGAGGTTAGCGATAGGATCAGTTTTGCTAGGGGATTCAACGAAGGCTGATGGAGGGGTCATGGCAGAACTGACTTTGTCGAATGCAAGCATTTGGCCGGTCATTTGACGACCATCGTTCATAGTTACGCGCATGCGGTAGTTGATCTGGTTCACTCTAGTCAGAAAGTGTTGTCATTGAACGTCGCAGGCGGAATGGTCCAAGAATACCAGGTTTTGCTAGAGACGAGTTAGCCCTATGGCTGAAAGCAGAGATAATATTATCAAACTTTACCATCTTCCCCTGCTTGTTCGCCATCTTGCCCGAATGTGCGCACGAATGCGACTTAACCTTCTTCCCACCACCGATGTAAAATGCTGGTTTGCTTGTGCCCAAAAAATAGGTTCGTGCGAAGTTTAGAGCCGCGGCTCAACTGCGCCTGCCAGACGATGGCTGCAGCGCTTATTGAAAGGAGGAAGCGAGGCAGGCCCGAACTGGTAGTGTTCCTGGTGTGGTTCCTGTAACTGATCTGGTCGCGAGACTTTAGCATACTCATAGAAAAGTGGTTGCGGAAGCTCCGAATCTAGTCTAGTTAGATTTTCAACTTCTTGGCAGCGCCAAGCCACATTCCGGACGCACCACCAGAATTTCGAATAGTCCGTCAATTGGCTTTTTCTCAATTTCCAGCACCACAAAACCTCTCCAAACTTGTACTCTGTCGCAATCGTTAACACCTCCATTTTCTGACAAAATGGCGGAAGGCAACGACAAGAGCTCAAACCCCATGCGGGAGCTGCGCATCGACAAGCTGGTGCTGAACATTTCGGTTGGCGAGTCTGGTGATCGTCTCACTCGTGCAGCAAAGGTGTTGGAACAACTGTCGGGTCAAACTCCCGTCTACAGTACGCCCAAAATTCTCGCTTGAACTGTTCTCCTTGTTCTGACAAGTTTGTACAGGCAAAGCTCGTTACACTGTCCGCTCTTTTGGCATCCGTCGCAACGAAAAGATAGCAGTCCATGTCACCGTCCGTGGCCCCAAAGCCGAGGAAATCCTCGAACGCGGCTTGAAAGTCAAGGAATACGAACTACGGAAGAAGAACTTTAGCGAGACCGGAAACTTCGGGTTCGGTATCTCTGAGCACATCGATTTGGGGATCAAGTATGATCCGGCAATTGGGATTTACGGGATGGACTTCTACTGCTGCATGGGCAGACCCGGAGCGAGAGTTGCCAGAAGAAGACGCTGCAAGAGCAAGGTGGGACGCAGCCATCAAGTCTCTAAGGATGATGCGATCAAGTGGTTCAAGACGAGATTTGAGGGCATTGTGCGATAGATGAAGCCGGAGGAATGGATGTTGGGCGCCGACAAAAGACCAGAAGAACAGTCAAACGAGGCGGAGCTGTCGCTTTCGCCAGCGAGGATAGCATCGTCTGTGTCGTCATCGACACTTTCCCACAAGAGAGCACGGGGTCGGGGGCGACTCTTCTTGTCGTCTCGCTTCGAGAAACTGATTCGAACAAAAAGTTGAATCAGTAAAATCCAAACCAGATCAAGTCAGCGGCAGAGACGAGACTCCGAACCACTTTTTACACTATGGTGGTTCATTTGACCTTACCCATAGCATCACCGGAATAGAAAGAGAATTCACCAATTTCATCTTCGCCTTAACTGTACTTCAACACCGTTGTAACTACCTCTGTCTACTTTAAACCGCGCCTCAAGTGGTATAGCTAACCTCACACGATGATGCCGTTTCCTTCGGCAAACACGATGTCCTTATCAACTTAGCATGGCTTATGATTATCAGGCTGTAGTACATGGTTGCTGCTATGAACGAGCAGAGACAGAAGCTTATTGGGCAGGTCTTAGGTGAAGGAGGAAAAGAGATTTAGTGCTATATCAAGTCACAAGACTGTAGGAGTAATATTGTTCAAAACGGATCACAACGGCTGAATTGTGGCTCTCCGACGTCTCCGACTCAAATAGTTAAGACATACCCCAGCGCCGTGCTTTGATGCATTGCGTTACATATTCCGACTGAGACATCCCCGTCATAAATTTCATGCTCACGTTTTCCAGGACCAGCTCCATACCCACATCCGTCCGAGGACACCAAATCACAAATCACCTTCAGTATCGTGTATAGAAAACTCAATTTGTATGAGTCGTAGGGTTGGAGTTGGTTTCTGTCGTCGTGCTTTCGACCACTGTATTAATGCTCGTCGTTGCCACAGGCGAGACTGGCATGTCCCCAGTATCGGAAGCAGAAGCCGGCTGCACTACTGGCGACACAGGCGTATTAGGCTCTGTAGCCCCAGAAACACTAATCCTAGGAAGATTGAGCTGTGGCAACTGAGGAGGAACGCTCGCGTCCGTGGGAGCTCTAGTCGGGATGCCCGCAGCACGACTGGCATTGCTTGCTGCGCGACGAGCGATCGCCGCCTCATACGAGGGAGCATCGCCCCAGTCCAAGAACTCGTAGTCGGGTGGTCGACTGGTATCATCAATGTCTGGAGGTTGTGGCATCCGTGATTCCCCAATGTCTTCTGATCCAGTACTTTCATCGGGCGTAAATCTGTTGGCAGTAGGAGAAGAATTGGATGTGCCACCGCTTTGGGGCTCGTCACTTTGCCGTCGATTGCTGTCGTCAGGAATGGTTGAGCCTGGGGTCGGTTGAGGTTCCACATCGGAGCCCATAGTTGATACACTCACTGCGCTGATTGAACGCCCGCGGCTGTGCGTCGATGTAGCATCCGATAGGAGACGGGGCCGTCCATCATTTTCGCCCATGGGGGCTGCTCCACTCAAGAGGCCACCTCGCTCCGAGTCATTGCTATTTGCTCGAATCCTTGTACCGTCATGTCGGACCTCCCCCAGTGAAGCATATGCAACACTCGATACTCTTCGTTCTCGTCCGCGAGACTGATGCTCGGCAATCAAGGTAGCTGCAGATACACTCACGCCGCCGTTGAGGGAAGTAGTACTCTCGTTTGCACGTTGGCGTGATTCCCGCCTCAGCTGCTCTAATCGAGCCGTATCTCCTCTCTCACGAGCTTCCCTTCGCTCCCGCCGCCGTTCTTCTCGTTCTGCAATCTCACGGCGGCGTGCCAATCGAATCTGATATAAGGACTCCATTTGGTCTTCGCGACGGGTTTCTTCCTCTTCCGCTGTCTCCGGGAACTCCACTACCGTGTCCATGCCACCTCTTTCGCCTTCTCGTCCAATTACTTGTTCTGTGTCCTTTGGTGTCCTTGAGTACGCCGGAAGTGTGATAACACTGCGCACACTGGTGTTGCGGTCGACTCCTGCACCAGTTCCCGCTCCAGCGTCAATCTCGTTCCCGTTGTACGCTGTGCTCGTGGACGAAAGGTCTCGGTTGCGGACGGCCTTGTATTTTCCACCGGGTTGCCAGGTCTGCCATTTGCTCTTCAAAAATTTTGTGGGAATATATTTGGGCTTCTTGCCTTGAACCCTCCATCTCCGCAGCATTGTGTAAAAGACCACGCAAGCGGTGATGAAGAGTACGACGCCGGCAATGACCTGAAGCCGTCAGAAAGTGTTCCTGCGGTAAGAACTTGTAGAATACTTACACCAACGATCACAGCACTACCACCCATCCCCCCCCCTCCGCCATTGCCGCCATCGCCATCTTTCGGCGGCCCTTGCCTCGAAGATAATCGATTTACATGTATGCTGCGTTTCTCTAGTGGCTGTATAGGTGAACTGACCGCCATGGCCCTGATTATCGATGGGGGAAAAGTTGGATCTCGCGGACGTAAGCGTTGAGGCTTCGCTACCAGAACATTTGATCAAGTTGGTGAAGGTTGGAATGCGAAAAAGATGAGACAGGTTCGGGAGATACAATAGCTTCGTACAAGCTGTCAAACGGAGAATGTTCCCATAGGCAGGCTCTTGAGTAGTGATACGCGGGAGGTAACAATGCACGGCAAGTACTTTAGAACAGAGACAGTAGTCTTGAGCATACGTATGCACCATACAAAGTGTGGTAAGATGGATTGGCGTTTCTCAGCACGGGCAGTGGTTGGCCTCGAGGAACCTTTCGAGTTTGCAGAAACAGGTGCTATGGTGCAGGGAGTGCATGCCGTCAGCCGCCAGCGGCGGACACAAAGTGGCAGGGCATACTCGGTAGGGAGCGGCGGATTGGCTAGGCTTCCAAGCAGGGTCTGTGGTAGGTTGTGGTAGGTGCGATAGGCGGTTGGCGGTGGCTCGCCAGGGCCTCTGAGGGCTAAAAGATGCTGAGACACTCAGCCAGGACCCGCCCTAGTGTGCCCGCTTCGTCTGTTCGCGTAATCCGCCATCCATTTGGGTTTGGCTCGCGTGCAAAAGAAATTTATACATAGAACGCCTGCACATAGTCCCGCATGATGAGAGACCAGAGTTGTTGCTCCCGGGAACCTTCTTCAAGACGTCCGAGGCTGCTTCGTGGATCTGAAGGTCAGTCTCGTACCGAGTCTCGCTTAAATGATTCGAGATTGAGTCAGCCTGAATGGATCATCTCACTCCGAGGCCACCTTCCCCGCAATCGCATACTGAGTGCCTCGTATGCGTACAGAAAGGGCGCGGGTTTTAGGGAGAGCAAAATCCACAACGGAGAGCGCATGGGGAATATCTACTCAGGAGCACATGTCAACAAAGAAAGATGGCGAGGTATCAGAGTGCAGTCAACTCGGCAGCAGTAGTGGCAAGGCTGAGAGGCTCGAAGTCTGTGAGTCAGCCTTGCGAATGCCAAGCGCTAATGCAACGGATTTGTTGCCTGTTTTGGCTGCTCCGTCCTTTCCCTTTCCAGAAATACCATAACAAACACAAACCTTGAGGCACATGGCTTGTTTGCTCTCTATGACTTTGATTCCCTCAACACTATCTTCGATTGCCCCCGATATCATACCGTCAACCATCCTACGGAACCGGCCATGGCTCCTTCGAGGTTCGACCACGGCACAATGAATACAAATTACAGTAGCATCCATTCTCGTGAGGCTTTCATTGGCGACTACCAGGTAGATGATCTCCACGACACTTCCTCGGCACAAACTGATCATTGTTCAGGTCATGTACACTCCCGGTTCAACCTCTCCACAGTTCGACCGTGTCAAGAAGTCGACTCGCTTCAGTAGAGCTGTGTCGTCCAAGTCCCAGAACCCCAGCCAGTCTTTCATGCTAAATATCCCCAATACTTCTCAGATCGTGGCAGACCATGGTTCTCTACCAAATGTCCAAATTCACTACACTGTCCCCGCCGACGAGAAACAGATTGTCGCGTCCTTGCGCACTCTCCAACGCGATCTCAACGAAGCTATGCAGACCATCAACTCCCTTACTCGCGAGCGCGACGATGCGCTGCTTGAGCTTAGATTGCTCCGTGCTGCTTCCAAGAAGCAAAACACCCCAGCAAAGAAGAGTAGGGCGGCGTCACGCGTCGAGGAAGAGTTGTTCGACATCAGCAGATCCATGTCATCTCCCCAAAGATCTCCTATCCGAAGAACTTCGACGAAAGAAACGTCGGCGGACACGAAAGAAGCCCCAAAGACCACAAACTCCGACGACGCCCGAGTTCTGTCCGGGGTTATTAACAGACCAATGTCCCCGGTGTCCGAAATGCGGCCGAGCAAGTCGGACGCCACTGCTAAGAGCAAGACTCAATCCTACCAACGACCGACTGTTAATGACACCGAAAACAGTGTCATTGAAGAGACTACCGCAGCGTCAAACACCTCACGCCGTCGGCGCCGCCCGTCTCATGATGAAAATATGACCTCAGCGTACATCCTGCCCGATATTACGGTGAGCCAGCCCCCGAGATCAGCAAGAATCCAAGTGTCACAAGAGGCTCAAAGCGTTCTGCATCGTCACGGCGACCCCGAGCACATTGACAATTGTACTGTCTGTCAGCGTCTCACAGAAAGAAAACCCAGACAAATTAAGTACGCCACACGCTCCACCTCCGCCCTTGCTGCTGAGAAGACCGATTTCACAGCTCAAATCACTCAGCTCATGAAGGATGCAATGCTAGAGGAACCCACCTTACGCCCCAAGATCAACCCCTGGCATGCCCTTGCTAATGTCAAGAAACTTTTGATGGACCAATTCGAAGAGGCAAAACGCAAGCATGCCCAGGCCTGGGAGAAGTACGATGCCATTGAGGCGCCCTCGAACAGCAAGAAACATTCCGCTGCGAGCCAGGACTTGTTCAACTGGTCCAAGAAGATGGAAGAGTGTCGGGTCAATCTGGATCAGCTGAGAGATGTAGAAGAGGGAATGAAGGAGCAAGAGAGTGGGGTATGAGCGTCGTGCTCCCGATATTGACGGCGGTACAGAGGGGGGTTTGCGGATGTATTGCACATGAGACTGATGATGAGAAAGCCATGTCTTGCAAGACTATGCTGTGCGAATGTGTTTAAGGATCGTTGTTCTGCTTCCATCGTTACTTGCTGGGATTGGAAAAGCCTAGACTGTGCAAATCTTCATTTCGACGAATAGAAGTCCTCAAAGCACCGTACCCAAAGATTCACTTAACAAATTGACCGGGGAAACGATGCACTGCGAGACCCTGACGCAGAGGATATTGGATTGGGAGAAATGTCAATTGGAAATTCTGTTTGCCGTACTTTAGTCCCTCCTTTCGCGAACTCTCGCGCCATGGTTTGCAACAGTATGTATCCCTCATGGACACTCTCACTAAAAATCTATTGTTCGCGGATTGCTATTCCTGTCCACTTTCACTGAAACGAAAGCCTTCAACGCAGGTAATCTCTGTGCCTCGGGTTTGATATGAAGTCAGTTCCACAGGAGGCCTACCATCATCTTCATAACCCGACAAGCATTTCTTCTACTGCATAACCTCCTCTGTCTCTTCAATGACCTCCTCAACCACTTCCTCCACAACCTTCTCCCCCTCCTCTTCTACACTTCTGGTTCTCTGGAGCGCCAACTCCTCGTCGGGATCTTTCAACCCAAGCTCTTCTCTCTCTTGTCTCAATAATTCCTTCTCCCTCGCCACCCAGCTGTACCACTCCATGTATAGCCTCCTCCTCGCGTCAATCACGGCCTGGTTAGCGCCTTCTTCCATCTCTTTGTCCAACTCATCGAATTCCTTGGAGTATTCTCGCAGGTTGCGACGGATGGTGCGCTGTTCTTCTTTGCTGAGGAGTGTTGGCGGCCGGGGTCGCCAGATGAGTTGCTTGAATTTTTCAGTGGGGTGCTCGGAAAGGAGAGCTCCGTAAAAGGTCCACAGTCGCCAGCCATTTTCCATCTAGACATTATCACATTAGCGTTCAAAAATTGTTTTCTTTTTGGAACTTGTCCCGAACACAGCAGGTGGCACAGATTTCTTACCTGATGAGTCCACACACTCGCACTAGTCGTAACATATCTCCCTGTTGGGTCCCAATCCACATCTGTCATTCCATAGTGATCCTCACTATTCATCAACATCAGGTTCGCATTCAGATTGGCGGCAACATCATGCTCCGGCTTTTCGCCCTCGTAGTCCAGATCATAGAAGTCAATGTCTGAATGTTGTTGCACACTGACTGTGGCAACGACCACGAATCGACCTTTCGGAGACCAGTAAATTCCGTTGGAGTTTTTTTTATCGTAGGTGCGCACAAGTTTGAACGCTCCTGTTCCAGGGCCCTTGATTTTCTCAGGAGCGAAGAATGAGACGGCTGTCTTAGGAAGGACGTTGCTTCCGGCCACCGCTTCCCCTGCTGTGATCAGTACGAACCGATCACCCTTTGGTTCCCACGCGAAATTAATGACAGTGTCCTTGAGAGAGTCGACGACTTCAACGGGAACGCCCTTTTCCCGGATACGGAATATTTCAAGGTTTGTGGCATTTGATTTCTTGGATTTTGAGTGGCGGTCCACTTTGACGCAGATGAACTTCCCTTCGGACTGCCAGTGAAGTTTTGCGTCGGTGACATTGAAAAGATTTCGAGTTCGCACAATCTCCTTTGAAGGAATGGACATCAAGGCAACCTTCGCAGGGTTAGATCCGATCTCAGGGGTCCAAAAGCAGAGAAGGGATTCGTAGGTTTTGATCCCTTCGCGCTGGGTCGTTGAGGGTGCCCATTCAAAATCCATGATTCCTTCGACTTTGACAGACGTTTTGTCCAGCAGATTCATTCTAGGTAGTTCGTAGATGGAGATACTCTCATGGGGCTTCATTCTTGCTACATACTTTTCATCAGCGGACCATTTGAACGCTGGCCACTGGACTTTGGCTTTTGGCGGGATGACAGCCGCTTCGGCACCTGGGGGAGGCGTAAGATCGTGGGCGACGAACGATCGTAGCGGTTTGCCTGTGGTAATGTCCCAGACGACGATGTGCTTGCCTTCTTCGTCGATAGTGAGAGGCCCTTTGCCTTCTTCCACGGTGATGGGTTGGTTGGACCATGTGGTCAGGTATGACTCTCCCGGTGAGAACTCGATCAGGCTGACAAAGGGATGCGGGAATTGTCTGATTCTTTTGAAAGAGGGGCCCCCCCACAACTGGACACCTTGCTGATGAATCGAAGCAAGATATGTTCCGTGAGGTGACCACGAAACGAAAAGTTGTGTCCAGTGTTTGCGATCGACAATTGGCTCAGGCGGTTCTTTCTTGTTGTTCCAGAAGACTCCCACATTGTCTCCTCGAAACATGACAAATTGGTCTCGAGCTTGAGGATCAAAGAGCCATGACTTGAGGTGTTCCCGATCAGCAAATGGTTCGATC